AAAAAAAAAAAAAGAAAGAAAGAGAGGGATAAAAGGCAAACGTTTTTCTTATATCACGCATTTGAGTGATGATTACGTTGTAATAAATGACAACAGAGCAATACGTACATCACTCTCTTGCACATATATATAATATATATATCTGGTATATGTGTATTTTTTTCTGCTTATCTCTACACACATTCTTTTTGTTTTTTTTTGTTTTTTTTTTTTATACACGTGCTTGCTGTTCATGCTTCGGTGTGTACATATACTTCGTATATATATATATGTATATATGTATATATATATATATGTATTTCGAATATATATTAAAAAAATCTATTTCCCTTTATATCATATATTATATATGTAGTAGAGCGTGTATATAACTTGATGCACAGACATTCGCAAATATATGGAGTACATTTTCTGCATGCGGGACAAAATTAAAATTCTTGGCGCTTCCTGTTTTTTTTTTTTTACCTTCTCAACAATCGAATCGCGTTATATAGAAATAACAAAAAAAAAAAGAAAAGAATATCAGCAACAAATAAAATATAACGTGTGACAAACATGATTTTAACACTCGGGCTCTCTGCTTGGACAGAATATCTCTACCAATTGTATATTAATAGCGTTTATTCTTCGGTTCGGATCTTAAAAAAACCGTTTTGAGTAATTTCACGTCGCGGTGACAAATACGCTATCTCAACACGATAAACAATCAATAAGAAAAGATAACTGTCTCGGTCGTTGAGCCACACACGTTTCAATAATAAATTTGTGTTAAGCAGAAGTATTTTGACCTTTGTATATACACAACTAAAAACAATATAAAAAAATATATATATATATCACTTTTTAAAGAAATATACTTATTTTTAAAATTAAACTAAAGTTTACAAATTAGCTAATATTTAATTAAAATTGTGATTTATTTAAAACAAAGATTTAATATTGCGACAGTTATCTTATCTCTTTTTACATGTATCTCCTTTCTTTCCTTCTTTCTCTCACGCAAACACACATATACACAGACAGACAGACAGACACAGACAGTAGGACCAGTTTCAATATAATTAATTAAATACATTAAACTGATATATGCCAACAATAAAATATACAATAAAAATTGAATATAAATATGTATCTATATATTACAAGAATGTAACTCTTCCACAGCTGCGAATATAGATAAAAAATACTGTATATTAACTAATAACAAAACTTTGCGTAATCTCAACAGAAGTTTATGTACAGCGTGTTCACACACGCATATAAATTTGATTGATACAATTCTCGTAATGCTTTCGATACTTCTCCGACATCGAAAGAAAGCATACATGCATACACACGTTTAAAACTACATTTTTCTTTTAGTTTCATTAAAAAAAAAAAAAAAAAAAAAAAAAAGAAAAAAGAAAACACTACAATATATAATCACGATCGTTGACGATCTATCTTACAAAGTGTCATTTAATAAATTACACCGTGTGCTTCTGCCATTATGAAAAAAAATCAAATTTCGATAACGACAATTCAATCGCCGATGCAAAACCATTCCAACGCAAATACTACCAACAACAATTCGAGTTATGGTCCTACTGTTACGTACAAAAAGAAGAAATAAAAATCAAGGAAAAATTCTTCCCGTCGTTCTCATTAGGCGTGAACCGAGTTCCGAAAAAGCAGATTCCTTTTGTTTTTTTTTGTTGTTTTTTTGTTTTTATCACAAAATTGTAATCGCGGCAATTTCGTGTAGCGGAACGTGTAGCGTGACGTTCTAAATATTACAATGTAGTACAATTTGTTGGAACACACCTAGGTTTTTATGTTTACAACATACCTAGAATAACAATATAGCACCTAGGTTTTTTTGTACTTTAGCATTATTTTCTTCGTCATGATGAGTTTAATTAATTATTACAAACATACATCTATATATATATATATATATATATATATATATGTGTATGTATATATATGTATATATGTATAACGCCAAGTTGTATATTTACAATAAACGCGATCGTGACTACAAAGATCTGAATGGAAAGCACAATCTCTAAATTAATTTTACTATAAATTGTTTTTCTCTCTCACTCACTTGCTCAATCGCTCGTTCGCTTTCTCTCGTGTGTTATTTTTATTTCCTCTTCCTTTATTTAACAGGGATCAAAATTATATAATCTTAAAAACAATCTCGCATTTGTTTTTTTTTTAATGTGTACGAAGTAATGTTCCGTCGTTAAAAGTAACTTGTTTTTTTCTTGGCGCGGTATTATCTCTCTTAGATCTACATTTCTCCCTTGTCTCGTGTATAATACAATATCTACATTTCGATTTTAATGAAAAAATCGACCGATACAGGTATACTTGACGTAGCTGTCCAACCTGCGACACATATTGGTTTTTTTTTTTTTTTTTGTCACATCTCCCATCGGAAAGTGTCCGCTGGGTTTTTCTTTTTCAAAGTCCGTCTCGTCCACGATCGGGAAACAAGCGGGCCAACAATAACTTGTCTTCAAAGCGCACATTCGACGAAGAAAGACGCGTGTGTGCCTTTCGTTAATATTCGCGATAATGCAAACAGGAAAAGGATGTGTGTACCACACACATAGATTGCATTCCGATTACATTCACTGCCAGTGTCAAGAACGTGACGTCACAAAGAAGAGTTTCACACACGCGAAGAGATTATTTTTCCTACCTTCATAACAAACTAATTAAAAACTAGTTTTACATAAATTTAGTTGTCTCTTTTATTTTTAAAATGATATAAAACATGCGTCAATATTGATTAAACGCGGCAATTACGCGGATTAAAGTTGATAATAAAAGTTGATGATGCAATCAAGAAAATCTTTTGACTTTGCACGAGAGACACAACTATCAGCGATAATGTAAAAAAAAAAAAAAAAAAAACATCTGTTATAAAATATAAATGATTTATTGTTTATCTTAGAACGATTATAATTCAAGTTTTTTGTCGTGATTATTGAGACTAGAGTTATGTGTAAACAGAGCTGTTTTATTTTTTTTCTAACGTGCGTTCCACGTGAGTCACGTGGATCGCACCGTTTTTCTTTCTATACTGCGAATGTCTTACCTTTGTAACAAAAGCAGAAAGTAACGCAGAAGACAAGCTATCTCTCCAATGACGATGAGTCGGCCGATCGGTCTGAATCTAGCTAAGCGCAAGCGCGGATAAATTGCGCGCAAAAATTCCTCTGCAGCCCAATACTTCCAGTTGGACAGCACGTGGTTTTACTCAGTACAAACTTCAAAATAATAACGTATCGATATATATAACATTCAAAGGCTCGTCGCGTATCACATAAACCTAGATAAATTTATCGTTTCGTTTAGAATTGTAATATATATATATGTATATATATATATGTATACCTAAAGTACTAAATTCAGTGCACGCTTATTCGGCCAACGGATGAGCGTCATCGCGATAATCGCTGAGCAGTTGTGTGTTTATATGCGTGTTAAATGAGTTTTCGTGTCATCTCCCAATCACTGATCCGACTCGTTATTAGTCGCTAGCACGCTGGTAGCAGACCCAGACTCTTTATTGTCCGATGGTAAACTCGCAGCGTCAGCGTCCTCGCTACCTGTTTCAGTGCTGTCGGCCGCACTAGCTCGCGGTGCCGTTGCTGTCACTTCTTCCTTCTTGTCTTGGGTCTCACTGATGACAACAGCGGAGGCGGCGGCAACGGCGGCCTGTTGTTGTTGTTGTTGTTGTTGCTGCTGCTGCTGTAATTCTTGCCTTTGCAATTGACTACGCAGTTTCGAGATTTCGCGCTTGTCAGATCGCCGAAGTCGTCGCAGCTGCGCGTTTTCCAACATCATGAGACGTGCCATTTCTATCACATCCTGTGGCACATGCAACGCTCTTAATTGCTCTTCAAGGTCGGTCTTGGTTGACTCTGAGTCGCTATCCGATGAGTATGCCGAGGGAGTGCCACCGGAAGAAGCAGCCAACGAAGGTGGTCCCACGTTCACCGTGGACGACGTAACTGCCGCGCTCTCTTCCTCTTCCTCGCCCATCTTTGACGTTTTTATGTCTTTCGGCGGTGTCGCTTCCTTCTGTCTTCTATCCTCGGATACGTAGTAAGTTGGATAAGAACCGACAGCGGGTGCTTGCTGACTTGGCGATTTCTTTTCCATTTTGACGTTGGCCGACGAGAGCGGCTGTTCCTGCTTCTCATTAATGGGACTCGACAAACGATGATTATTGTGACAGCGTTGCTCGTGATAATGCCGTCGCTGTTGATGATGAAGAGGCGGTATCTGAGCAAGCGTCGGTACGGGCGCCAGTGCCACGTTAGGCTGAAAGTGTGGCTCGAAACGTTCGCACTCTGAAAGCGGAATAACCCGTTCGGGATTCTGCAGTACAGGCGGACCACGACTGAGATATGGAGGTGCCAACGATGAGCTGTAAACAAAGGCGTTAACACGATCGTAATCAAATTATAGCGGAACATTGATTCCATGAAAGTCAAACAATATTTTTGTGAGAACAGGAAAAAGGCCAATTCGGGTCAAAGTGTTGATGTATAGCTTTTTTTTTTTTTTTATTATTTTTTAAAACCAACAATCAAACATTTCAATCCTATATTGAATCTCCTCCAGTGATAAACTAAATAGAGAAAAAAATAATTAAAAATAATTAAAAAATTACCAGCATAGAATAAAAATATTAAAAATCCACAAACAAATAAATAAATCTTATTAATCTTTATTTGTAAAATGTACGAACTAATCTTTCTAAATAATCAGGTACGACACTTACTTGGCTCTGAGCTTGCAATTGCCGTTCCAAGGCCGAAATGCAGATGCACCTCTGGCTAACTCGAGAACCGCCCACTGCATCTGAAAATACGGATCGGTCGCGGACATTTGGGACACAGGATGGTACATCCCCAATCCGTTGGCATTGTAGATTCCAGCACAGTCATCCTTTCCTGGATCCTTCTTTGTGCGTTTGGTTAATCTTTCGTATTCGCTTCGTAGCTGAAACAACGTTTGTATTTTTTCGCAAATATAAACAAAAAATAATAAATCTCAATTAAAAGGATAGTGTTTAAATACAGTAAAACACGTACCTCTAACTTTCGTTTGGTGTTTGACGAGAGAGGCCTGTCTTTCAGTTCACGAAAAAGAACGAGCGATTTATTGTAGTGCTGCTGATCGCGACAGAGCAACAGATAAGATCGCCAATTCGCCGAATCGAAACCCCAGTGGCAGGTGCGATTTTCCAAGGATCTGTGAGCGTGTCTCACGAAACGCTGAGGAGAGAACTGATAGCCGCATTCCAGACACTCGATGCACGGCGAGTCATCCGTTGCGAACAGCTCCGCGTCGAAGATGCCCTTGCATTTGCCGAAACACTCGTGATACACCTTAAACTTAACGATAGTCTCTTCCTCGTCCTCATTCTTGCCGCACATCTTCTTGTCGAGACAATCCTGCACCTGACCGATCTGGGAAGACTTGCACGAATCTGTCCGTAAGAGCAAAGCACTAACGAGCCTTTCGGCGTCGGTTTGAGTGATGAGACCGCAGGACGGTGCGTTGTGCGGCAGAATGCCGGATTGTTTCAGGCCCTCAAGCTGATCGGGCGTGCAGCGCGAGCAATAGATCTGCAACTCGTCGCACACCTGATTGATCTGCTGCAGAGTGAAATCCTGTAGTACGGTGTTCAGTATCTGTGGTAAACATAACCTCTTCTCGCCGCCGACCTCGAAGCACGAGATCCTCTCGCCCTCGAGAACGGTCTCGCGTCTCTCGGAACGGCTCTGATCGGGCGCCGTCAGTATTGGTATCTGGAACTCAAGCTCGCGCTTGTCGCACGCGTTCTTCTGACGTTCCGTCGCAGGACGATCCTCGTCCGAGTCCTCGAGCGAGCAGGGCGCTTTTGTAACAGGCGTCAATGGACGCGTCGATGTCTCGCGACCCTCTTTCTCGACGATGACATCCTTCGGCTCGCCGGGTGACTCCAAACTGCAAGTAACCGTCGGACGACTCGCCGGCGGCGAGAAGCACGGAGTCGCTGACTGCTGTTCGTGCAGCAGAACCGATTTACAGTCCAGCAGAGCGGAGCTGGGACCCTGCAGGCTTTTCACAGCTGACAGCTGATAAGTCTTGAGCACAGTCTTTAATTGCGGACTGTATGACTGACTGGTGGCAGTGTTACCAGGTAATAGTGTCTCCATTATTATTAGTATTATTGTTGTTGTTGTTGTTGTTGTTGTTGCGATTGTTATTATTACTGCACGTGTATTTCGAACGTCATCAATGATGAGAACAAACGAACTGATAGCCAGTTTAAACGTATATGCACACCCTCGATATTCGAATCGGGTATGACAAGTATTTTACGTTCCTTGATATTGTGCTGCGCGCACACACACACATACACACACACATACACACACACACACACACACTCACGGTATTTATATCCTTCGACACTGTTCACGTTCGCGTTTTTCTTTATTATTTATGTCGCGAACGCCGGAGCAGGACACGGACACTAGAACAACTGGCACACGTGGGCTTCCTCGCGATCCCATTTCCATGTCACTTGACCCCGGTGTATTGTCGTCGCGAGTCTCGCTGTTGCGACGCGGTTCTTCTCGTCGTCTCCACCACGATCCCGCGCATTAACGCAACATGCTGAATCGCGATGCAAATCCATCTCTCTGTTGTGCCAAAAACAAAACGGGGGGTTTCTCGCTCCAACCCCCCAAAGGGCCGCGTTTTTGTCTTTCTCTCTCTCTCTCTCTCTGTTTCTCACGCTTTTTCCTTTCTTCGTCGCTACGCTCTCTTTCTGTCTCTCTCACCCGCAAGAGAGTTAACGTTTACCGCGTCCTTCCTTCCTCCCTATATTCGTCCCTCCCGCCGCTGCCATACGCCGCTGACGAAGACAACGATGCGACTACCGCCGCAATTCGCAATCCGTCGCGACGCCACCACTTCGACACACAACATGATAAAGCCCCTCTTCTTTCTTTCTCTCCTCGCTGTCTGCCGTGTCTTCTCTCCTCTCCTTTCCCTCTTCTGTTCTTTGTTCGCGAATTCCTCGCTCTGCCTCTCTCGCGCTTTCGCGGTAGAAAAAAAATCGCGTTTACGCCGAGATCCGCACGCACTGTCCTGTCCTCCGTTCCGAGTCTCCTCAAACGAGAGAGCCGCCGCCACCTTCTCCTCCTCCTCCTCTTCCTCCTCCGCCTCGCAGTCAAGTTCCCTCCGATTCCTCTACCTACTCTCCTATCTCCCCTCTCTCGTTCCTCCGGGGTCTCGCCGTTTCTCTTACCACCTCCTTCTTCTTCTTTCTCTCGTCCTACCGCAGCGACGACGACGGCTTTCAGCGCGATGTGTTCACGTATAGCCGCAAATTTGATGCGCGACGAAAACAGTGGACTCAAGTCGCGCAGCGGTCACGGATATAGCAGCAGGCCGATGATCCATAACGGACCTCGAGAGCTGAGTCGTACGAACTTCCAATCGAAGCGCCAATCCCGAATATGTGACACATGTGTCCAATCTATTTATCCTTCGTACTCATTGCACGTTTTACTCACGTTGTGTGCGATGCGCGACACACACACGCACACACATACATGCACACACACACACACATACGCGCGTGCGTGTTTCTATTTATCCATCCTTCTATCCGTCACTTCGCCACGGCGCACTGTTGTCACGGACGGCGCATGTTATTGCCGTTGACCGTCGACGACGTCGCCGTCGCCGTCAACACACGGCAAGGTTGTGTGTCCAACTGCGCCCAGCCACCTCGTCGTTGTTGTTGTCAATAATCGGGTGGACGCCGAAACCACCGTCACGGCACTGTCTCACCGCTCCTCGTCAACGAGAACAACAACGTCCGGCCTCCGAAATATTATCGCATCACTGAAGCACGAACACGCCAGCGCGACTGGCATCGTCAAACGAGCGATTTACTCGTCGGCACGTCGCGACGCAATGGCGTATCGATCGTGGCGGCGGCGGCGGCGGCGGCGGTGGCGGTGGCGGTGGNACGCACGCACCGCATGCCGCACGCACGCCGGTGTGGCGTGTGGCGCAAAAATGTTGCGTGGCCGGCGCGGCGGCGGCGGTGGCGGTGGCGGCGACAACGAGCCACCGTGAACGAGACGACGACCACAACAAACAGCGAACGTTCGCAGGAGCGTGCATACTTCTTACCGCCCTGCGGAAGAGCAGTCGATAACGATAATGACAATGATGATGATGACTGCGATTTCTGACAACTCGGAAGAAGATACACCATTCACCGATGTGCTAGAACACACACGCAAGCGCTCGGTGTGAATACATGTTTATTTATTTCTTTCTTTCTTTTTCTCTCTCTCTCTCTCTTTCTCACTTGCTCCCTTTTGATGTGCAGAGACAGACGCTACAACGACGAGACCACCGCGACGTCTGTATACACACACTGTCCTCACGCATTCTTCCGCAGCGTTTTCACAGACGACAATACATGTGGTCTGTTTTTCACTATACCTGTCTCAGTCTTCCACTCCCGGGCTTCTCTCTCTTTCTCTCTCTCTCTCTCATACACACACACACACACATTTTCGCTCTGCAAAGTTTTCTGTCCTTGCACACAAGCGGGACGAATTCTTTTCCTACTTGCTTTTTTTTCCTTTCTTTTTCTTAAGTGCGCTCACATACACACACGCACGCATATAAATACGTAGCGTAAAAACGAAAAACGAGATCCGACGACAGAAGATCAAGGTTTTTAAAAGAGCAGGACTTTTAATCTGAAAAACACTCGCGCAGAATTCGTTTTTTCCTTCTCACACGAGTACGTGTATGCATTTCGCTACACGCGCGCACCAATATACATGTGCGTATATGTACGCACATATGAAATATGTACATGTGTATGTAAAGCGCGGCACACTCGCCGCACGCTTCTCGCGGGACTCCAAACACGTGTGTCAAATGTACTTACGTTCTATTGATATTTCCACGAAATATTGCCGGAACATTGCGGGAATGTTACCTCGCAAGATTCAAATACTGCGTGCCATATTTCTGAGAGAGACTGCCCCACGGTATTCGTCCGTTCTCGAAACACGTTAATTCTGCAACGATGCTGATGTCGCAGACGTACCTGCAATATTCGAACACAATGTTGCAGAATTTTTGGAACAAATGTCATACTATTTTATCCGATCTCAAAAAAAAAAAAAAAAAAACAAAAACAATGTGAGATCTGACAACGTTATTTTGCAAAAGAACAATCTGCACACTTGCCTGATGTGTGCAAATACAGTCGCTTGCGTCAGAAGCTTATGATATGCATATGTAAAATTTATATTACGTACAGATAAAGTATACGCGCGAATACGTTATCGTATAAAGAATCACGATAAACTCCACGTGTCCGTATCAATTCCGAACGTCGTAACGGACACCGAGCTCGTCTTTTTTCTCGTCCTCTCACAGTTGGTCATTTTCTACTTCGCATCACTGTGAAGTGTGCCGCGAAGAACCGCGCGTCTCTTTTGTGCCTGAAAAAAAATCTCACTGTGCATTTTTACGCGCCATATGCAAACATCGCACAGATCTTCTTTGCCTGGAAGAAAATCGAAAGAAAGTTTACTGTCAATAAATAAACAATCTCGTACACACCGTTTAAAATGTAAATCGTCGAAATGAAATAGAAAAGATCCGCGGTATTGTATAAAAATGCCTTGCCTAAAAGTAACGTACCGAAGAATGCGCGCTCTGTGCTTCCTGAGTTAATGGAAGTTGGTAAAACTGAACGCTAGAGGAATAGCCTGATAAAGTAGCGATTGACTACATCGACCGATGTTTCGTCGGAAGTGATCAAACGCATTCGGTCTATCGACAGAATTGACAATTTCGTTTTGACACCACGTCGAAAACGAAGCGCTAGACCGAATGAAAAAACATTCACCAACTGCCATCTCCTGTGTCTTTTCTCTACTATTTGACGTAAGACTGACTTACGGCCGATTTCTTCATACCTCTCGATAGCTATCCTCTGGATAGCTATCCTCTCATCTAGATGATTTTATCTATTATCTAGATAATATTATAAAATTATATATTATCTAAATATAAATAATTTATATAAATATAAATAATAATATAAATAAATAATTATTCCGTCGATTTTGCAGTCAAGTCTCAACCAATCACGAACGTTTTGACAGTTCCGCAATACGCATGTTTCGCACCATCTGACTTCTCTCTTAGACCCGGTTTCACAATTCGCGGTTAACTCGAATTAATCGAAGTTCGACTTGCTGAGCTCGGTTTAACGCTTTCAATTTTCTTTGTCAAATCTTTGTTAACCAATCACAGTTCATGTTTAGGGAAGAAAAGATGCATTAAGCCTATGTCACTCTACGGATTGGGTTTTGAGATTAGATTGAAATTTGACCAATTAGAAAGAAGAAAATCAATCTTAAGTTTAGTGATCTTTTTTCTGATTGGCCAAATTGCTATCCAATCTCAATCCTAATCCGTAGTGTGACATAAACTTTACGCCGAGTTTAGCAAGTTGGGCTTCCGTTAATTCGAGTTAACAGTCAATTGTGAAACCGGGCCTTAATCTCGCGAACTTGTCGCATGCGCGACAAGTGCTGGTTTCTCAAAATCGGAAGAGTTGCGCTACTGTATATACCGTGCTCTGGTCTCACGAGAATCACGCGCGTCCGCTTAAATAGGAATATGAAGGCTAGGACAGATTTGTTGAATGATGCTGCGTGGAATCAGCTGCAGAAATACTTTGACAGCAATGGCTCAAAGATCAACATTTATAGCATGTTCCAGGAGGATCCCAAACGTTTCGAGAAATTTAGGTACATCTCTGATCGACCTTCTAATCGTGACCTTGCAGCGACCTTTAAAAGTTCTTTAGTTTATAACCGGAAGAATTTATTTCATATAAGATTATTTTAGTTGCATTTGCATCTGGTGGAAACTGCACGCATAAAACTTGTTATAGTTTACAAAAAGAGTTTTACAAACCGTATTAGTTTGCAAGAAAATGGTAGCTCTGTAAAAATTGTGGTGTTTTGTTTGAACAGCTTGGAACTTGGCACTCCACAAGACGGACCGATATTATTAGATTATTCTAAGAACAAGATCAACAAGGAAGTGCTCGATTTGTTATTTAATTTGGTAGGTAATAAAATTACCGAAATGTTTATTTTACATTTTCTTGAATTTTGAATGATGATAAAGTTTTTCTGTAGGCTCGTGCACGAGAGATAGAAGCCGCGAGAGATGCTATGTTTAATGCTGAAAAGATCAATTTCACAGAGAACAGAGCAGTTCTGCACATTGCTCTGCGCAACAGAAGTAACAAGCCAATATTGCTGGATGGAAAGGATGTGATGCCGGATGTTAACGCTGTGTTGGAACACATGAAGAGTTTTACAAACGAGGTGAGTTTCTCGTTTATTTTGATTACGTAACTTCTTGTTCACGAGGTATATCTCGTACACAGATAGTGACAAAAGAATGGAAAGGATTTACTGGCAAACCTATTGAAGACGTCGTCAACATTGGAATTGGTGGCTCTGATCTGGTAATTTTTATACATCACAAGTTTCGGTAACTTTATAACTCTGTTGCATTTGTGAAAGATTTTATCTTTTTGTAGGGTCCACTTATGGTAACTGAAGCTTTGAAAGCATACAGTATCGGACCGAAAGTTCATTTCGTTAGCAATATAGACGGCACTCACATAGCCGAAACTCTGAAGAAATTAAGTCCGGAGACAACTTTGTTTATAATAGCTTCCAAAACGTTCACCACGCAGGAAACTATAACTAACGCAACCACTGCCAAGCAGTGGCTGTTGAATGCATTAAAAGATGTAAGCGTGAATTAAAAATTACAACAGTAATTAAAGATTTTGAAATATGATTATTTTTCTGATAATATAAAATTGTTAGGAAGCTGCGGTGGCGCGTCATTTTGTAGCGTTATCTACCAATGAACAAAAAGTCAAAGAATTCGGCATTGACGTCAAGAACATGTTTGGATTCTGGGACTGGGTTGGCGGACGTTACTCGCTGTGGTCGGCTATTGGTTTGTCAATTTGTTTATTTATCGGGTTTGATAATTTTGAGAAGCTTTTGAGCGGAGCTCACTTTATGGATCAACATTTCTCTACAGCGCCGTTGGAGCAAAATGTAATTTTGTCTAGTAAACAATTTTTAATAGCAGATAATTAATCTTATGATAATTTATCCCAATCTTTTTAGGCTCCTGTTATACTGGCCTTGCTCGGCGTATGGTACCATAACTTTTATAAGGCTGAAACGCACGCGCTGTTACCGTATGATCAGTACCTGCATAGATTTGCAGCTTACTTTCAGCAAGGCGATATGGAAAGCAACGGGAAATACGTTACTCGTTCGGGAAAAACTGTAAATTATTCTACCGGTAAGTCCTATATGATACGTATAAGATATAAATTCCCATGTAACACACATGTACATTCGCAGGACCAATTGTTTGGGGAGAACCGGGTACCAATGGACAGCATGCATTTTATCAGTTATTGCATCAAGGTACGAGACTCGTGCCAGCAGATTTTATAATTCCTGTTCAATCTCAGAATCAGGTAAATTAGATTTATCATAGGTATATCTATTACTATTTGCATGAAATATGTTTATTTATTCGTTTGCAGATTGGTAACCATCATACAATTTTGCTGGCCAATTTCTTGGCACAAACCGAGGCTTTGATGAAAGGCAAAAATGAGACCGAGGCCCGTGCCGAGTTGCAAAAGTCGGGATTGAGCGCCGATAAAGTGGAATCGTTGTTGCCGCATAAGATATTTGAAGGAAACAGACCAACAAATAGCATTATAGTAAAAAAATTAACGCCATTTGTTCTTGGTGCTTTGATCGGTAAATATGTCGTCGCATTTATTCTGATCTTTTACGGAAGGAATCTATAAAATTGCACTCGTTCTGTTTCTTTCAGCAATGTACGAACACAAAATTTTTGTACAGGGTATGATCTGGGATATCAATTCTTATGATCAATGGGGGTAAGAAAACATTACACTGTTCTACGTTAATTTTTTTCGAGTCGGTAAATAAAAATACAAAGTTTATTTAATGTCAAACATTTCATGCTTTTTGTTTATACAGGGTGGAATTAGGAAAACAGTTGGCCAAGGCCATCGAACCGGAGCTGACAAGTGCAGAAACTATTACAAGTCATGACTCATCAACTAATGGCTTGATAGCGTTTGTTAAATGTCATAAAGTCTAATTACGTATTTAAAAGGCTTGATAGCATTTGCTGAATATCATAGGGCCTAAATACTTATTTAGACAAGACACAGACGTATGTTTGTCTAATGAAACATTTCAAACAAGCACAGCAAGATAAAAATATATATACATATATATAAATTATACAAATAAAATTATAAAATAAATGGGATACTAATGAATTATTTTAACTTGTGAAAAAATATTTATATTTAGTAAATTAAACATAGGTGAGCGTTAGAATCATAGTGCAACACAATATCTATCTGCAAGTACAAAATGTTACAGAAATGAAATGTTACATAAGGATATGCAGCAAAAACCAACTGTATGCCAAATTATTCCAATAGAATATATATATTCTATATTTCATTGTTTCTTTGATGAAATGGTTTTTTGAGAAAATACACCTTGAAACATTTTTGTTTTTATTTTTTTTTTTTTTTTTTGCACGCTTTTTTATCGTCCGAAAGAAAAGCGACAAGAAATACCGACGTGATTCGCCCGCGGCGGTTTTGCCTGCGTCGATCGTATAATGTATGTAATCGTCTAAGTTTAAAGTGCGTCGAAGTGCGATGACGTTGGGAGACGTATTAGATTCTATGAAACACTATCTCTCATTCAGTCGACGGACGGAAAACAATGATGTTATTTGCGCAGTACAGAAATTTCGAGGAAAAGATATTGCAAAATGTCAAACAAAACGGCATACAACACCGGTATGTATTTTTTGGATTTAAGACATTAAAGGAATTTGTTTATTTTTTTCAAAACGAGATAACCTCGAATCCCGTTGTTATCGTGTTAGATTTACATTGCAAAAACTTTTATAGCGATACGCTTGCTGCTCGTTACTGCTTTACTTTTGTGCGCGTCTTGTACACTTGTGATATGTTAATGACATTTGTTAGTTACATAAAAATCACAAGGGCAATTAGATTCTTGGAAGGTTAGAGTTGATATAAATAAATAATATAAAAATTTGTTATTTTGCAGGTCAAACGCGAGCAGTGGATTATGGCTAGGTACTCTGGTTGGTCTGAGCGCAGCGGTTACAATACTGAGGGAACAGAACAGCTATTCTGAAATATGTCTGTTGGTGGGAACCACGGGGTTTGGTCTTGTTCTTTGTTCTTTGTGCCTTTACGTACGACTTTCGATGCAGGAAGTCACGGCAAAAGACTTTCACGCTATATATTTTCTGCCCGCGATTGTAACGTCCATGCTGTTTTTACTCGCAGCTAACAAAGGTACATTTTTCAATTCGCAATAAAATAATTGGTTTCCCTAATTAACGTGTACAAGATCTTACACGAGTTATTTCCTGATGCAAACGGCATGTTTGATTGACACTTGTTGATAATTACGTTGACATTCATCTGTGTAATTACATTCTTACATCAATTAAATGAGAACAGGATTGTTAACGAGTGTCACATGGGGCCTAACCGTGGCGAGTTTGGGCACATGGGGCGTCCTGCAACTAATGTCAGCTCTTCCGAACTGCTTTACAATGGGTGAAGCAACAGCGGTCACGCATAGTTTTATCCTGTTTTTGATGTCGGCTGTTACCAACTTACCTCTGCGATATCATTTACCTCCGATACACGTAAATGACATCAGCACGGTGTTCCTACAGGTAGCAAACTGACAAACTTAGCCGTCACGCTGTTGCTCACCATCTGTATTATATCCTTTTAACATGTTATTGCAGGTTGGAATATTGTATGTAATATGGGTGTGCGTTCTGTGTAGATATTTTCCCATCCTACGTAGCACGAGATATTTTTATTTTATGACCATCAGCCTCCTGTGTTTCATAACTCTTCCGATACTTTACGTTATTCTTGACCAAAACCCAATAATATGGATGCTCTCTTTTGTTTTTAATACACGCAAGAGGGTAAGTCTCACCGGGGTAACGTCTCGTCTTGTAAATCACTTTATTTCTGATCATCTTATTTCCGATTGTTGCAGATCGTCGTAGTTATTTACTGGGCGATATGTCTTTTATCAAGCGTTTTCATATTAGCGTATCAAATATTAGCAAACTTCCAAGCTACAAGCTCGATCAGAAAGATTTTTCATGTGCTAGCCACATTTGTCTACGTACCTGGTGTGATATACGATCCTTCGCTGTTGTACCTTGCCAGTGGTTTGATACTGGCGCTGTTCATCGCTATTGAGGTAATTTAAAAAAAAACAATTAGTTACTATGGTAATAACAAATACGACACTTTCTCCTCTATGTATTGTCAACCTGATCAAATTGTGAACTTCAGATACTGAGAGTCTTGAAAATTCCGCCGCTCGGAGAAGTGTTGCAGCAAGGATTTACGGTATTTGCCGACGAGAAAGATTCGTTGCTCTCGTTAACACCCTTGTACTTGATGTGCGGTCTTTCGTTTCCTCTTTGGATGCCGACTAGTAACTTGCCACTACTGGTATTGCTCAGTGGCGTGTTAACGGTAGGAATCGGCGATACCGCCGCAAGCTTTGTTGGTGGCAAATGGGGTTCGCACAAGTGGCACGACACGGAGAAAACTGTCGAAGGCACCGTCGCATGCATACTTTGTCAAATTTGCATAATACTCGGTCTAACATTTAGCGGTAGATTTCATCTTCCCGACATCTTTTTTTTTTTTATGTTTTTACCAACAACTTATTTGCTTATTCTCACGTATTTTATATCTCACCAGGTTTTGTGAACGATTACTGGTCGTTGCTGAGAAGCATTCTGGCGGTTGTGGCGATCTCGGTGATCGAAGGACGCACAAATCAAGTGGACAATCTAGCCCTGCCGTTGTTAATGTACGTGTGTCAAATGATCTGAACGAACGTCTGATATTGTTCGTTCTAATTCCAAGCTGGTGACTGTGTCATTTCGATTCGTAATTGATTGTTTAATTACTTAATGTATATAATAGAGATAAGACTACATAGGTGAGTAACTTATATGCATAACTCCTAACGCTTTTACGTTACGTACACGTGTTGCGTAGAAAACACTTCGATTAACACATCATTACACGCCGTTGTTTATTTGAAAGCTGGGCACACATTTAATTAGTCGCAATTGAAAACTGCCAATAATTCATTAAATCATTTTTTTCCTGAAAGAAAGAGAAAACGTTATTGATTCGCAGAACTGAGATTGCAAAGCAACGTATATGTGCATTGGCATTTATTTTTTTTTTTTTTTTCAAATAAAAAGACAAAAGAAATTTTTATATATTCGTCGCATTTGTAAACGCGATTGTTTGTATATGTACGCCATACGGGGCGGTGATAATGTACAAATATTTATATTTATAAAAACATAGCACGTTATATATTTATATATATATATATATTCAGATCTGTATATATAAATGTAACATATGAATTGTATGTATCTGTCCGAAAACGTGTGAAACATGTTAATATAATTAATATATATATATATGTAGACGCGAAACGCGAGCATTGTGAATCGTCACGAAGATCGTTGGAGTTACGAACGAATATTACATATCGCATTTTGAGCTTCGCTAACTTACAATTTTGCAGCGTTTTTTGCAAAATTAATAACAAACGGTGTGCCTGAATGTAATTCAATCATTCCCGATGGAGCATTTTTTTTTTTCTACGTGTATAAGCTTCTTCGAAAGAATCACTTTTGAGACGATTTTTCGATAACAAACAAAATAAAGAGAGCAGAGTTTTGTAATTATTTTAATAACTCATCACACATTGTTTTTTCCATCGTTTTACAGCGTTGTGTCATCATAAGAGAAATAATTTTATATAATCGGTATACATATGATGTTACAATAAAAAGTTTCTACTTGGGTGATAAAGTCGATGTTGAGAGTTCACTCTGATGTGTTTTGGAGCAATCACATACGTACATACACATATGTTATATACAGACATATATGTATAGTACATATGTAAAGATGTTTACTTTAATATTTTGTTTTTTTTTTATTGACCACACACAGCCCTAAAATCTGCTTAACAAACAGTACTTTCTATACGCCACATCCTTTAGTCTATAAAATACTTATGGAATGCTTAAAAACGACAATTTTTTTGTTTAATCCAACGCGAAATCAAAACTTTTACATTTTTTTTAACATAGATGCGTGTTACCCCATAAATGTACACATACACGCGCACATTCGCACGCACGCACGCACGCACGCACATACACACACGCACGCACACACGCGATTATTATATGAAATCGATCAACTGATTAATATTATTTAAAATCATTTTTTCAAAACCTAATGAAGCTTTGTGTTATCCCCACTTAGTTACTTGGTCATATCAAAAGATTCCTCGCGTATTCCACGCCTATGAGATTACAAATTTTCTCGATGAAATTAATTTTTATTTATATAATTCTATGTGTATATATATATATGTATAATATAGAATCTCTTTGCGAAGCGAGCTAGCAAAGTAAACATTTATTCGCATGACTTCTGTTCGCAATCGCGGAACTATATTTAAGTATATCGCGCGTAGTCAGAGACTTTAAAAACAAATTTAGGATGGTTTTGTTACAATATACAATTGTATTCTCTTGTAAAAAAAAAAAAAAACAAAACGTACGTAGAATGTGTAAAAAAGAACTGAAAAGAATTTTATATATTCGAATTAACAAAAATTAACGGATAAATGATTCTCAAACAATATATCTCGTACCGACAATCATTTATATGTTACAAAGTGTCTGTCGATCCTGCGGCATTTCTTTGCACAACAATCGTCTCACGTACGCATACGTATGTTATAGTCTCGAGGCTGATGCATATTGACATTTTTCTCGTGCGCTTGCAAAACGATTTCACATTTAAGCAAATTGTTCGTTTCAGCTTTCAAGGGTTTTTTTTTTTTTTTTTTTTTTTTTTAAAGAGAACGACAGACGTGTACAGGGTGTACATTAACTGTGTATCGCTAAAACTACTTATAATACTTTTTTTTTCTTGTGTGTATGTGTGTGTATATATACATATATAATTGTATTTATAATTGTATAGCAATTAAATAATTTATATCGTAGACGCGCGTGTTGCGCACTCTGTCGTGTATGTGTGTGTGTATGTGTGTGTGTAATTTTTGTATAATACGTTTATTACCTTGCCGTGGATAAGATCCGGCAGTACACGTGTGTTTCTCTCGCGTCTGCTATTTTTAAAAACCACGTAACGTGAAATTTTTATTATATTCGGTGTATCCTTTAAGTCTTTGTGTGATATATTGCGACTTTTCTGTCATATATATATATATATATATATATACTTTCGATCGCGAATTTTTATATCTAGACACAATTTCTAGATTTCGTTCGTTTAATCCTCCCGTTCTTACGACCTTCGTTCTGATACTTGTGTGTTACATCTTTCTTCTCCTCTCGCGCAATTACAGTTTTTTTTTCTCATGTTCAATTATTTATATATATATATATATATCTCAGTTGTCCTTGCTGATATATATATATATATATATGTTGCAAGTCGCATAAAATCGCCGGCTTTTCACGTTTCTTTCTTTCGTTCTTTTTTTATCAGTTACAATATATATACAATTGCAATACGAACTGGGAAACGATTTCTTCTATTCGTAGTCCAGCTACTCGTTAAAAAGCAACAGCACAGATTTTTTTTTTTTTTTTTCGATTAGTATATCGCTTCGTGATGAGAGATGTAAGGCTCTAAAGAGAGAGATCACCAACGAAATCTCCAAAATTTCTTTTCAAAATTCGCCGATCACCAATTTCAGATTCAGTTTCTAAATCGTGTGGCGCGTGTTGCACACACGACAAGTAAAAATGTGCAACAGCACATCTGACTCGCGTTAATCAAAGAACGGACAGTAACAAATTGTCGCCACAAAATCTCGTCTCTCTCACCGTCTCGTTTCTCACACGATGAAGACTCGCGATGATCGAGAGGGAGAAGAGCACAATGTCTCGTTTTAACATCACACACAAACATCTCTATACAATTTACAATGTAATAGAGTAATTTGTTTTTTTTATTTTTTTTTATTTTGGAAGTTTTTCCAGCGTTGTTTTTTTGTCGTGCTCGCGGATAAAGCGAAGGAGAATTATCTGAAATTTGTTTTTAACGTTTATATTTTGCGAGCCGAAGATTTTTTATTTATATGCCACCGCACGCGCGGCAACTATGCGGTTTTATAAATTATGCTCGGTGTGAATAAATAAATCGGAAAATAAATAATATATGACGGATTCAATTAAATATTGCACGCTTAAATGTTACACTCTCTCGAGGAGGTCTTGTATCGCACGTAATGATAATTTTTTTTACAATTACAAGGTGCTCTCAGAAACGGAAAGTGCGTGTCAACTCTCTACGTCGCTAAAAAACGTGTCTATCGTAAAATCTGTTGTCTAACAATCTAAGATACAACAAAGCGGCTGAGCATTCGATCATTGAGCCGTTTGGTGCTCCGTTTTACTTATCACTTTACTGTGAAACTGTGATGTTAATTTTTTGTTTTTCAATGTACACTACTAGTGCACTGAGAGAGAGAGAGATGACGTACAACCGAATTCGCGCGCTACGTAAGAGGTAAAAGTATGGTTTTATACTTTATTTTTTTTTTTGTTTTTTTTTTTTCACCTACATACGAGACAATGTTCTACTTTAACATTCGAAAAGAATGTCGATTACTTCGTGCGCATCGACGTTTGTTCTCTTCTTCTCGTCGCCAACTGGTCAGAAATCCTTAATGTCTATGTTTATATCATAAAGCATCCTACAAAGCTGTCGTCCCGCAATCGCGCGCCATTGCGTCTCGTGACGAGAAAACAAAAACCCAACTTGGACGAAAAAGACGTAAAATTTGTTACGCATTTGTTTAAATCGTGTGTTTTTTTAACGCGCTGTTAATCTCAAACATGCGCATTGCGCGTGGAAGTTAATGCGCTTATTAATTTAAAACTAGATAATTAAACAGTAAAAAAAATAAAGAAAACCATTTTTACAATTGAAAGTTCGACCAGCTCGAATGAAAAATGTCCAAGTTTCTGTTCGGAAAAATAGAACTACGGATTGTTTGTTTTTTCTGCTTTTTCTTGATGAGAAATTCGATGTCTTTTGCACGCAATGACAGCGATCATGGGTGGACAAGCTATTAGTGTCCCGAGTCTAATATACATCGATTCGATTCGATCGTGTGGGAGTATTATATATATATATATATATATATATACATACATATATATATGTATATATATATATATTATACACAATATATGTATGATATATATATAAGCTTTGCAAAACGGATACCTCCTACCTTGTCGCAAGGTTTCAAGAGTGATCTCACGGCGTAGGTGGATATGGAATTTCTAAGGAAATCGGAAACAGGAATTCTGATATATGTATATATGTCGCCGTTTATTCCCGCAACTTATGCCAATCGGCTATCTGTCGTCGTGGCGAGCTGCACACCTCTTTCCAATGGTTGACAGCTGAACCCTGACACTTTGGTCCGCCAAACTCTAGTCGTCCGATCACCTGCAAAAATCACGAGACGCGAACGCTCGCGTTTCATATTTTCGGTTTTTTGTTTTCCTAAAAACGGACTGATTAAAAAAAAAACAAAATCAAAATTCACCTCGTTCTTCGTGACTCGATCCCAGTCGAGCAGCATAAACTCGAGACTGACGTTGTTGAGCCCGTCCGAACCGTTCGGTATGTCAAAGACGAAGGACTCATTAAATACCGGACTGAGCGTACGCTTCTTCACGTGTGTCTTCTTCTTGGCGATACGTTGCTGATTGTACAGAAGGTAGATCTTCACGTATGGATCGGCGAGGCCTGTCACATCCATTTTCGGCAGATTTCGCGCTTTCAACACCACCACCGTCAATCGGCTCGTGACCGGTTGCCAGCAAAGAGAAACCAACAATTCCCCTCTCCCTTGCGACTGAATCTGACAAAAAAGGAAGAACGGGGAGGAAATTATAGATAACACCGTACGTTATTTTGAGAGCGTCTTCAGCGATATCTACCTTCAAACTTCGGGGACATATTTTCCGACAAAGAGATATCTCCTGATTATCCGCGTCCTCTAAACCGGGCACCGACGACAGAGCGCACGTCAATTCTCCGATAATATCGTCGCGTGAGTATCTGTCGAAGCTCAGTACAATGAAGTGTAAACTAATTTTCTGAAATCACAACCACGTCGACGGGTCACGTTTTCGTTCGAAGAAAAAAGAATACATTCGATTGCAAATTGTTTCAATTAATAAAAGAGGCAGAGGGGTGCGAAGTCCGTACCTGAAGTTGACTCTGTGAGATGCCGAAGAACGTGAAATCCTCGTCGTAAACCGGATCTCTGGTGTTGCGAAGAACCCGAGTCTTCACGTGATGCTGTTTGTCCGGTAGCAGTTGCAGTTTCACATAGGGATCGCTGGTGGCGTTCTGCTGGCCTCTCGCAGGCAATCCCTTGCACTTCACCACCGTCACCGCCAGCGCGTTCTGCTCGCTCCGGTATCGCAGTTTGAAGACCAGCTGGCCCAAATTGTCCTTGTCCTTTTCCGCGGTCTGACTCTTCTCCCGCTCGACCTTCTCGTTGTTCTCCAACTCGGCTTTGTCGCGTTCGTTCTCGATGCTCACGGTCACTTCGACCGGCGGTGTCTGTACCGGTGTACCTACGTGACACGCACGATTGTAAAACGCGAAGATCCGTTTGGCATCAAACAGAAATTAAAAACTTCGGTTTAGAATATCCTGAAATTTACTCGTTAGAAATGCGCAGAAAAAAAATATATAAAAAATATTCGCTTATCAACACCAGCGCAATCATTGTCTGATAACAACATATTTTGACATTTACATCATCAGTATTTTACGATATATCGTGTAGATATTACTTGCGCTCTGCGGAGTTCTCGGTTGAGACGCGGGGTTCGATGACTGGGATCCCGTCGGGCTCGGGGTCTGACCGCCGGAACCGGGTGGGCTCTTGGCCGGCCCGGTCGGCGACGGACTCTTCTTCAAATAGTGGCTCGTGCTACCGGGACTCTTGACCGCCGTCGGCTTCCGATGGGGCGGTCTAAACGCCAGGGACTTGTCCGAATTCAATTTGGTGTGCTCGCGACGTCGTCGGCAGAGCCACCAGGTCATCGCGACAGCGCATATAAGAAAAGCGGCGCCGATGCATAGCGTCACCAATGTTGCCGTCGAGACTGGAAATTCACACGTTTTCGTTTCTCGATCTCGAATTGCAACGGCACGCGACGTCTGTCGGCGGATATATAGCGCCGCATCACGCTACAATTTTATATATTGCACATATCGACAATGTGGAGACGAAGAGCGTCGATCGTACGAGAGAAGGAAAATAATTTTCTCAACGATTCAACTCACGCGTGTCGCGCAAAAAAAAGTGAGAAAAATTGTGAAAAGAACGAAAAGAGCAACGATCTCCGGAATGATCTTCGCTCTTTTTGCGTCGTTCCTTCCATCGCTCTTAATTAGTATTTAAAAAATATCGGTTAATTGTCTGGAGCCAAGCGAATGAATTCATCGCGTGACACAGCGTGTTTCCCATATGCACCGCTTTATAGACCTCGCGGATTTACATGCAGTTGGGCTAGTCGATATATCAATAGAGTACGTGGACTCCATTGGACTTTCCAGCGCTTTCTATGGCGAAATTACCGTGCGAACGTATATCGAACGGTACAAACGTTCGATACACGAAATACGACGCGGCCGTGAAATGCGACACCCAACAAATTCAATTAGCCGCGAATGGGGAACGAAATAAAAAAATTGTCGCGCGATTCTTCCAAAACCGAACATGATGCAGCGTAATAAAAGTCGAGGTGCAAGGGGGTAACAGCTGTCTGTCTCTCGGAATGACTTGCTAAAAACTAAATTGTCGCACGTAGGCGACCGGGTGGATGAATCCGCGATGCGATCCGGGAGATGCGAAGGGAAATTTGGACAGGTGAAATACATCGGGGTAATGAAGGAAACACCCGATGACGAAGGTGACGAAGGAGAGCACGTCGTCGTCGTCGGTGACATGACTCACCAGGCTCGACAGGTCGAATAAGTGGTCCGTCTTCTGTCACTCCACCGACCATCCTCGGCACCCGTTACCGTTCAATCGTAGAAAGGATGCTTTTATCCACGTGAGTCTTTTCTCGACGCGCCGAACGAATATTTACGGGCTTGCGGCCCCGGGTTGTGTGTTCGCGGCTGCTCCACCGTCCGTTCGCAGGCCGAAACACGCGGATCAATAGCCCCTGGAAGGAACGGAGCTTGCGCGGAGAGACTGTGACGCGGTACCGACGACAACGGCGAAGAAGACACCGACGATGCCGGCGGAAGAATGCGGCGAGATCCGCGAGATGATCCGCGGGTCAGAGTCGCGATACCTGCGCAACTCCGTAACGTGCGGCACAATATGGACCGCGCGATACGCTAGTACGAAAAAGTCGGAGCTTTTCGTCAAACGCAATTCGCGTTTAAAATTTTGTCTCGTCAACTGTTAAAACTTTGAAAATTTTCAAAATAAAAGAGAACAGAATCAGAGCGAAATATATTGCTCGGAATTCAGAAAGAAATTGGGAATGTTTTATGAGTCCGCGATTTCGTGACATGAACATGTGTTAAACATGCGGGAACGGGAGAAGAACGTGTGAGGTATTTTTGTATGTACATCCCACGCATAAATTCACGCGCGACACGGTATTCGCATTTGACATAAAGCTTCTGTAATCTCGGCTTTTTTGCTTTTTATTATCTCATTCTGTCATCATTTGTTTTTGTTCGCAGATATTCAAGTAATTTATTGTGTGTTGGTTGAATAATTAATTTTCAGTTAGTATGTCGTACATGGGAAACTTGGCCGCATGCGGTTGTTGCAAGTCTAATAAAAAACATATTACGCCAGCGAGACCTGAAAAAAGAGAAACGAAACATGAAACATAAAGCGTCAGCCGCGCAGCTTGTGTTCGCAATTGTTTACAGATCATCTTTCTCGGTGGAAACGTCCGATTCCGCGCAAACGCGTTGTAAAATGTTGTAGAGAATGTGTATTTGAATAAATTTTATTAAATTTGATTTACCTTCAAATAAAGAAAACGGTCTGTCGGGATCTCGATCTTGGCGCGCACCGTAATCGAAACACCACTCGCCGAACTTGCAAGCTCGATACAAGTATTTGATATCCTGTCAAATTTCAAATTATCGAAATAAAAACAGTCGTGTTTTCAAATGGCATTCAACTCGTGTTCAATTATTTGAGAAACAAAATTGAAAAAAAAAACCTTTGTCTGTTGAAACAAATGCAAGAAAGCATAACCGTTGCCAGCAACGCCGTGACAAAGGCTATATCCCTTTCTCAATATTCCTCTTTCCCATATTACTTCGCCGCACCTTACGGCGGTCTCCAAGAATGTATCGTCTTCGAACACCTGATTGTTACATCGGTGACATTACGAAAGTGAATTGTTTGGAAAAAAAAAAAAAACCAAGTTGTTTGGTTTTGGATAAAACTTTTGTATAAACCTTGAAAGCCAAACAAAACAACGCAGGCATTCCGGGCGCTCCGTGACACCACTGTACTAGTTTATCCGAATTATTTCCCATTGAAGAAGGAAAATTCCCAGAAGAAAATTTCAATTGCTGCAGATAGTACAACGACGGTTTCACATAATCGTCAATTTGTTCCCGCGTTAAATACTGTCGCGCCTAAAAAAAAAAAACAGGAGAAACAATCCAATCGATTTGCGGAACAACGCGATTTTCTATATAAAATACACGTACCTGTAACAGCAGATAGAGTATGCCCGCTAATCCGTGAGCGGCACCGATATATTCTTTGTCGTGCCAGGAAAACATGAGCGGTGATTTACAACGATTCGACGAAGCGTACGACGACCCGGAATTGATTATGCGAGAAACAATCTGTGAATAATTTTAACAGATGTAGTTTTGCCATCACAGCTCCTTAGCTGCTGCGGATCAAATCAGGTTGTTTTACTTTTTTAATAAGATCCGCATCTATAGGAGCCGAAGATACGTTAGCGTTTACATAGAGCAAACCGGCTAGATAACCGGCTCTTCCATACAACAATTCATCGGGTAGTCCATGTCCCTCCAAGACATAAGAAGATAAAGACATCAGTCTAGAAACATTTTAGAATCAAAACTTTTATTTCTTTCTCTCGCGATCGAAAAAAAATAAACACTCTCGAATTGACGTACTTAGAAATTAATTGTTTTGCTTCCGCCTCCTTGCCTTGCGAATGTAATAACACAGCTGTCAACGCTAGCGGACCCACAACTCCGGTCAAAAGAGTAATTTTGTGTCTGCTTGTGTACTTATCGCAGCATCTTCTCAATAATTCTGTTGCCGTCTATGAAAGAATGATAATAATGATGATATATTTAATTAATAATAAATTGCACACACAAAACTCTTAGAAAATTATACTTGAATGTATTCAGAATTGTCGTCACATTTTCCATATTGATGATAGAGATACGCAATTCCCGCTATTCCAGTGTACACAGAATAGTCATTACTTAGCCAGAGTTTCTTATTTTGTTTCAACGTTTTCATTAACTTTTCAATTGTTGATGTCAGTAATGACTTGAATGTATCATGAATCTGAAAGAATAATTGTTTTTTCTTTACCCGTGTGTCTCTTTCATATGATAATAATAATAATAAACAGTATATATAAAAGTTTACACATATATATATACAAAATTCTAGCATATATTTTACAAAATGCGTCTCATACCGTATCATTATCAATTATATTGCGACTAGTCGAAGGGGAGTAATCTTCAAATGAATTTTTATAATATCTACTGGTATCCATAATTGCGCAAACTTTTCTGTGAAACTTGTTTATATCTCTTACTTGTTTACGTTCCTTAAATAAGTAAACGAAACAACGTGACGAACTCGCAAGCACGTCACTACGTGACATTAGACGCGCCGACTGATAATGGAGACCTCGTGCGGTCGAGGCGCAAAGCTATATATAAATAATTTATATATAGCCAAGGACTCTCATATATGTACTCTTTTTTTTTTCACATAAAAGTTATAATTCCTTTCAAATAAAATAAAAATTTATATGTACATGTATTCACGTTATTAATATATAAAATATATAGTTTTGATACATAATATTTTTATTATTCATAGCGATAAATAAAAATGTCGAGAGCTATACGTGTATACAAAACTATCTTCGTGTCACACACAACTAAAATATAATATATATATCGTGTAAAAAAGTAAAAAATCTCGTTCGTACATATAAAACTTAGCTATACAAACGTGCGAGAAAAAAATACAAAGTATTGTCTCGACGTAAAAATTTTACTACAACGTTTAATATTTCACGCTTTTAGCCATATGCACTTGGAAAGACTACATTGATTTATTCTTTTTACGAAATGCATACAATATTTACAAATATACTTTATATAAATATACCACAAAAGTTGAAAACTTACAGAACATTTTATTGTGTGCAAATCAAATGGAACGTTTACTCGTTGAACGAACGTACGGTTTTGGGTTTTTGTTTTTTTTATTGTACTACATGTAACAGGACTGAGCACAAGATAAATATATAAACATAAATAAATAAATAAGTCTAAAAGGTGTGACGATTCAGAGCAACTTTCTCACATTAATATGCATATGATGCCAAAAAAAACCATTATTTACATTTTTAAAGCGTCTTGAATGTTGTGCTAGCTTTCCTTTTCTTTTTTTTGTTTTTTTTGTGTTATATAATTTTTATGGAAATATTCAATGTATCTAAATCACTGTGTGTCAATATTGCTATATATATATATATACTTATCAAAATAATGTTACATTGTATCATAAGCAGTGTGATAAGTCAAGACTGCTGTTGCGTTATATTTGCGACTCTTAAAAATGTAATTCATTGTGTGTAATGATAATTTGTTTGCTTTTTTTTTTTAAATTAAATAATGGTGAATCTCGACAGCGGAAGAATATCTATTCGAAACAATTAAAAACGTTAGCTGCTTCATTTTTTTTTTTGGTTTTTGTTTTTCTCGTTCCGAGTATATGTGCCATTATTTTGTATTTAAAATTAATTCGATATAATATTTTGTTAAAAGTTCTCGATTAAATTCAAAATGTTTTGCGATGAATAGCCCGTATCCCGTCTTCATCGAACTCTCGTTTACTGACCCACATCTTTTTGAACGTGTCTAAAGAAGCCAAAATAGAACCGCCGATCCAAGTACTGTATAATCGTTCTTGGGGCGCGGATATCTGTTACGACAGAAAACAAATGTAATCCATAACAAATATAAATATATGTCTAATCTTTTTCTAATGTTTTCTTTTCTCACCCTTATTTTAATATCCTTTGGCGACATTCTACGAATCTCGGATAATAATCTGTCACCGAAACCCTGAGTAAAAAGAAATGTAAAAGTTTTGTTTATTGATTAAATTTTCTACAAAATGTAAATAATAAGCGTGTGTACTTACGCGGAATAATGTCGATCCCCCGGAGAGAACGATGTTTTGGAATAAAACTTTTCTTAAATCCAAATCGGACTTCTGAATAGAGTACGTTAATACTTCATGAAGGCCTTCGCATTCTTCGCCTATCAGATCTGGTCTAAACAGCACTTCAGGAGCTCTGAATCGTGCCGGACCGATCTACATTGAATAAGTCAGAGGGATCGATCAGTGTGTTCACATTATTTAAAAGTTTTTTTTGTTTTTATATATACTTTTTTTTAAGTGATGTTTATAAATTATTTTATTACCTCCAAGTGACTGCCATCGGGTAATACATATTGAAATTTCTCTGTTTCTATTGTTTCTTCTTTTTGGGGATTGCTGGCGAGGTAGCATCCTTTTTCTTTGATTATTCTGACAATTTCGAATTCTGCCGTGGTCTTGAAATTAATACCCTCTTTGCGTAAAAGTAACCTAAGATGCCTCGTTACATCGCGCCCTGCTATATCAACACGCATTATACTGTGAGGCATAGCGAAACCTTCGTAAATAGGTACAGCGTGTGTGACACCATCGCCAGCATCTAGAACCACTCCCGTAGTTCGGCCTGTTGCGTATCTACGTTAAGAAATGTAATAAATATTGTAGAAAGTTTTTAAATAAATTTCAACACATAAAAGAAACAATTTCAAGATCATTCTGAACTTCAAAGTTCAACAATGACAAGTGTTTTGCTGATCACATTGAAAAACAATTTACTTACAGGCTAAGTACAGCTTGCATGGAAACAAATAAAGCTGGAACATTGAATGTTTCAAAAAATATCTCAGCCGCCTTCTCACGATTCTTTCTGGGATTTAAAGGTGCTTCTGTAAGTAGAACAGGATGTTCCTCACTGAATGTAGCTAGTTGATCTTTACTATAAACATAGGACCATATGCGTTCCATGTCGTTCCAATCTGTGACTACACCATGTTCCATTGGATATCGAAGTGATAAAAGGCCACGGTGTTCTTCTGCTATTGGACCTACAAACAGATCTCCTTCCAATGCACCAGCCATAACACGTACATGTTTTGGCCTCCCAATGCTAAAAAAAAAAAAATTAGAATTGAACTAAATTTGCATGAATTCATAATGCGCTGATATATCATCTTGCAAGTAATTTACAAAATACTCAAGTTATATTCTATTCTTGATACTTACTAATTTGGAAATCTACACTTTGGTATTTGATCCCCCGCAAACCCTGCCTTGATAACACCAGATCCCTGAACAAAGAATTATAATTGTGCAGTACATAGTAATGTTTAATCTTTTTTAAATAGAGAAAGAATGTTTTATCTAAAAAAATACCGATAAAATATCGCTTACCAAACTGCCGATTACATCGATAACCAACAGTTTTTCATACAAATCAAAACGCAATATAAAATAACAAAATGCGCGTTGGAAAAAAAAAACATCGTCCGAGTTCTTTTATTTACAAAGTGTTTTTCGAATAATAAATGCATTGGGATCGAATTGATCGATGAAGTTTGACACATCATTCTTTCTCTTTCGCTCGATTTCTCTGTCTCTCTCTCTTCCTCTCGCTCTCTTTCCATCTTGCTATCGTTTCCTCTTATTTTCTCTAATTGATAAAATGCAAAAACAAATGACGGGAAACTTACATTATCAATGACAACCGGCTGATTGACAATCACGTCATACGGCTCCATAATATTATAAGGTAAAAGTGTTTCAAGACACCTTTATCCGAATCAAAAGCTCTACGACTCTAACCCTACAAGCACACCCCACCTAGCACCTACGTAAAGTAGAAATTCCCTTGAAGTTGCGTCCGCAACCAGGATTGCCAATGTGCCCATGCTGTGCAACATGTAAAGCGAAATTAAAAGGAATGGGGAAGAAACCAATCAGAACAATTGCGTTTGGTAAAATTAAGCCGCGTTATTACCAGAAAGATGCATGAGAACAATCAATTTGAACCGGTTTAGTATTTTAATTTTTTAGTTTGAATCTTTGCTAAATCCGAGTATTTTTGGCGAAAACTCGAATCACGAGAATTCCAAACCTCCTCCTCTCTTAATAAAAGCTCCTGTCACTTTCTGCGATCCTGGTATGAAAGGTGAATTTTTCCGCTAGAATTTATCGATAAATATTACCCATTTCTCTAATGGTAAAGCTCTTGTCGCTTTCTGCGACCTTGGTTCGAAACTTGAATTTATCGGCCGGAATTTACCGATAAACATTACCGGCGGGAATTTAGTGCCACCTACTTCAACTTATTGTTTCCTAATACCACTACATTATCGACCAAGAATATTACCGGCGGGAATTTAGTGCCACCTACTTTAACTTATCGTTTCCTGATACCACCACACTATCGACCGAGAATATTACCGGCGGGAATTTAGTGCCACCTACTTCAACTTATACTTTCCTAATACCTCTAACTTATCGGCCGAGTAAGCTAGCTCCTGGTAAAGCTCCTGCCACTTTCTGTGATCCTGGTAATAAATTTGAAATTTAGCCCGTAGCGGCCGGCTTTCTCGGCCGCCGCGCGCTTGAACCTTCAGCGAAAAATGCTTGTATCTCTCATGTTAATCATGGGAATTGAATGAAATTTCGCATACAATTACCTTAGAGCTTTTAACGTAAAATTAGAATAACAAAATTGCAAAATTTATAAAAATTAAAATAAATAAAATTTATTACAACTTTTACGTTAGCGCGCGTTCCGGTGAATGATATTGTTTTCTTACATCATGTTGCCTTCTATACACCATGCGTGCACCTGGGTAATCGGCTCCGACCGACATTTAAAAATGGCGAACGAAAAGAGCGAGAGGATGATCCTCGGCATTGTTTTCTATTATTAATATTTGTTAATAGAAAAAAAAAAAAGATTTAGTGCGAATTTACACAACTAATTCAAGTTTTGTTGTATCGTTGTGTAACTATTATTTCTAAGAAGAAACATGGTTCCTCCTGTTGTCATTTGTTGCGTATCTTTGATTGTTATGAGTTTGGGATTTATTCTAGGCTGGACCTACTTTGAGTGTTCTCCCCACGTTATTCTCAGTTGTTATATTATTTACATTGTACTGGCCTGTTCTTCTCTGCTTATCGGCCCGCTGATAATGATACTGATCAACATAGCTCTGTCACCGAAGCACCAGACCGGTTCTGGTACTGTCAAGATCGTCGCCGAGATGGACGCCTTTCGCAACATGTTGATGGTACGCAGGTGACTTCGTACATCAAAAATTAAACGCGCCGATACATCTCATTGGCACGGTATCGTTTGTTTGTTTTCAGAAAGGACACGAGGCAACGGCAGCTAATATTAAAAAACACACGCGTTATCCCATGGTTTTTACACGTTTAGTGGACAACGCTCTGCAAAATCTCTTGGATTTGATCTTTCAAGACTTCGTAGGTTCTTGGCTGAACTCTCTTGCTTTCGGTTCGGAACAGCTGCTGGATAACATGAAGCAGGACATGTGGGGCGCGATACAAAGCCTTCACGAGCGCCTGTCGCGTATTGATCACACTAAATTGGTGGTTTGCAACATAGTGAACAAGCTAACTTTTCATTTTGAAAAGATCAGGATAGCTCAGGCAGCTTCGTAAGCTTCTTCACCTCCTATTGGTGTATTTAAGAGAATAAAACAAGAAGAGAATGAATTTATCCGTTTGTTGCACTTAGATCGGAAGGAGAAGATCCTGTATTTATTTTATCGGCGCATCTGATGTCGCCTGTCGCCGAATTGGAATATTTGAGGAAAATCAGCGAACTTTACATTTTATTTTTGTTACCACGCAGTTATTCTCTCTCTCCCGTGAAATTTCTCTTGAGAGAAGTTCTCGCATGTAAAAGTGCGTAATTTGTTTTTTTTTTCACAGAAAAAGTTTTTCACACATACTCACACAGTTTATCGCACATTTATTTATTTTTCTATTCTATTGCTTTAGTTTTGAAACCAGCGATAGATCTAATCACGGATCCTGATTACATCAATCAGAAGATCTTGGGTTACATCGATCAACAGCAGCTTGCCGAGGCAATGCACAGAAAGACTTACGAATACGCGGAATCTTTTGAGGATTTTATTCACATGATCAAGAGTACCAAAGACTTGGAAGTTCTTAAACATATCAGATACAACATCGTTACCGAGATTATGCAGGCCACCACAATACAAAACGTCAAACGGGCTCAGGGTCTGGATTCCGAGAACAACGCGCTCGGAAACTCCGATGCTGTTCGAGCAAGAAAATTGAAGAGGTACATCAATCAGCTGACGTACGCCAAAAACATTTGCGAATGCCACATGCAGACACTGGGTTGGAACGGATATCCTCCTCAGGTTATTTAATTCTATTTTTATCCCTTTGTGATATAAAATGATAAATGGATGCGACGGAATTCTCATCGTATGCGTATAATAATATATTTTTCAGGATACGGAAATCTTTGACGCTACAGAGATCGCGGAAGGCAGAATAGTTCCTCTGCAAATTATTCTGGACAACGTGACCGGACGACGATACCTTTCTCAGTTCTTGGAAAAAGTTTCCAGTCAAGATTTAATCGGCTACTGGGCGGCGGTGCAGGAATTACGTGCCGCTGAACGATCCACGTGGCATCAGTTAGGAGCCGAAATCTTTTACACTTACATCAGATCGCCAACTGCCGAGATTAAGGTGGATAAAAATGTTCGAAAGCGAATGGAGGCTTTTCTAATGGGTGATACGGGACCCGGTGTATTTTACGAGGTTCAGGATAGTGTGGTTAAAACGCTTCAGGAAAAGTATTATCCGTCGTTCCTCGTTAGCGAACAGTACAAGAATATGCAGGAGGCGTTGATCAATGAAAGAGCGGAGGATTTGGTCGAGGATCGCGGCATCGTTGACGGCACTCTGTCGGAATCCTCAACCTTGCTCGTTGGCGAACAATCGAATTACGCCCGCAGTAAATTGGACCAGTTGCAGGAAAAGCTGAATAACAAAATGCAGGCTCTGCAGGCCCTCAAATCTTCTCTTAAACCCGAGAGCAAAGTGTTGAGCATATTGGCGAAAGAAGTCGAGTGCTTGCAAGGCGAGAAACAACAATTGGAAGCGCATTTAAATCGTACAGAGATGTGGGCCGAGCATTTAGGTCATTGGAGAGTCGATGTGCAGAGAGCAGAGGTATAATAGTGTATAATTCTTTTTTTTTTTTTTTATATAATCTTCAAAAAATATGAAAGATGTTACGTGAAACATTGACGTGAACAGATACCTGATAACGGGAACCCTCCGCAATTTATACTGATTGTCCACATGGCAGAAAACAAAAACAATGACGAAAGCACGTCCAGCGGATGGGTTGTGTTAAGGAAACTACAAGATTTTCAGGATCTCCATAGAAAACTACGTCCGTTATGTTCTAACGTTAAAACTCTGGACTTACCTTCGCAACCTCTTAAGTTTTTTGGGAAATCCGACAAGGCCACTCTCGAGAAGGCCAAGATGCAGATACAAAAATATTTGAACGTATGTTTGCACACAAATGTGTATCGTTTACACTTGTCCAAATCCAACAACTTCTTTTCACGGTAATACAAATTTATAAAATTATTTATTTCTCGCAGTTTGTTTTGGATGATGAGAGACTTAATCAGAGCGAGGCGTTGTATGCTTTTCTCAGTCCTAGCTCGGAACATCTTAAGGCTGTGGCGCCGTCCCCAAAGAAATCTCGTTTCTCTTTTTCCACATTATTCAAAACGTACGCGTCGTCAATTTTGTCACAATGTGATTACAATTTATTTGTTGCTTCTGTAATTTTGTGTTTTTTTTTTTTTTTTTAATACACACAGATCTGTCGGTAGCAACGATCCGCGCGATAAAGAAGAGGAAGAAGATTATTCATTGTTGCTAGACGACAACGAAACGGGCCGAACTGGCACGGATAACTATCTAAATGCAAGCAAGGACGCGATTGCGGAACCGCTGTACACACTTTTAGAAGAAGTTTTCGACCTTAGAGGAGTATTCTGTTGGCTCAGACGATCTCTTATTGTTTTCGTGCAGATTACTTACGGACGAACTATAAACAGGTAAAGTACGTTGGACAAAATTATTTCTCATTTTCATTTATATGTTAAATAAATCTCACGCGAGAAATATACATATTTTAATATTTTATACTATATTTTTGCGAGGTGATAAAAGTAGTTTTCCGAGATATATTGTCACATCGTTAATTCGCAGACAAATTCGAGACACCGTTGCGTGGGTGTTTTCCGAACCGATGCTTCACTATTACATACAATTGTTTACGAAATCGTGGTGGCCGAACGGACAACTCGTGTCCGAAACTGTCCTTCGTACCGACGAGGAAAAGTTAAAAACACGCGGCGAGGCACGCAGGCAGTTTCTCAACAATGTACCTGAAGTGTTGACGAATCTAGTGGGAGCGCAAAGTGCTCAGCGTGGCGCGACTAAAGTTTTCGATTCGCTGCAGAACGTGAATCTGAACAAACAATTATTTTACGTAAGTTGTCTGCTCGTATCAACTGTACCTATGTATTGTTGCAAACGTGAGTCTCATTTTATAAGGTTTTTCGTTTTTTTTACAGGATATATTTGAAACATTAATGTACGAAGTATTTCCAGAACTATACAATGTTTCTTAACAAAATAAATAATCGATGTTACGCATAAATGAGTATGTAATGTTTTCTTTCACTTAAAAGAGGATGCTATTTGGTCAAGGTAAAATTTCAAAAATCCAATCTCTTTTTACGAAAGATTAAGTAAATGACAACATTGGAATACGACCAATAAGAGAAATAGGAATGTGCGCTCGCATGTGTTGTGTGTGTATGTGACAAAAACGAATTTATTATTCAACATTTCTATAGTATTTTTAGATATGCAATCGAAATCTGTCCGCGGAATATGTAACAAATGCATATACACATTACATCGCGTATCTTTCAAGTAACTGTAAAACAGAACAAAATTCTGCTATTACGTAATAATACTTACAATTAAAACTATAAAAGGTAGAAATGTCAACTTCACTATGTTCGTTTTTTTTTTTCGTTTTAATCATCATATAAGGATATAAAGTATAAACAATTGAGCTGGTGCATATAACTTGCAATTTTAACAGCATTACGGTATATATATCTCATGTGTTTCTATGATACATATTTAATACTTTCTAATAGCCTCTCTCTTTCTCTCTCTTTCTCTCGCGCGCGTATAGGAGGGACATATCTTATACATTATGGAGTAACCTGTATCTGTCGCTTTTAAAAAAGAATATTTTTTATATCCGAGAAAAGCAAATATCTAGGAATACTGAATATTTGTGACTGAATATATATATGTATGTGTATATAATAATATATATATATATATATATATATACGCACATATTTACGCATGCACACCCATCCACACGCACACGCGCACACTAGTATATATATTATTTAAATAATATATAATAAGAGAGAGATATAAATACAAAAGTAGAGTGATTGATGTATGGAAGTCAAAAGAGTATATAATGGACGTATATAAATCTTGATAAGGGCAATTATCTCTGTTTACAAGTATATTTTTTTTTATCACGCTATATGTATATGTACGTATATACATACATATGTTTCGATGATTGATCTCATCTGAGTATAATTAATTTTACGGTAACTTATATACATGTATATATTTTTATATACACACATATATATATATATAATTATATATACATATATATATACCTACACAAAAATACATATATATATATATATACATACATATATTGGAAAGTATAAATTCTGTAAATAGATATACGTGTTACTCATATTCGAATTCGTAAAACGTTCAGTGTAAAATAGATAAAACGAAGTGAACAAGCGACAGAAATACGCATCTTAAAATTTTATATATTATAAACGTATGTAATGTGTAGACTTGAATATTTTTTCAAGACATTTAAAATAGCGATTCTTCTCGTGTTGTGAGAAGTTACAACGTATACAAACATCGCACATGCGAGACTTACGATTCCGTAGTTCCAGTCGCGGAAATATAAATCTATTTGCTTACACTGTGCAATATATAAATACTGCTAAGTTCTCAATAATGTTGACTAGTTAGTTGCAAGCAATTTTGAGATATAGAAAGAGAGTAATTTGAGTTATATATATATATATATATATATATATTATATATATGTATAATATATATAAATATAAATATATATATATGTATATATATATAAGATAACAGATAAAATAGTATACAGAAAACATTAGTCTATGGTTCCAAAGAACGATGGTATATATAATTTTCTCTTTACTCTCTGATTTTATATATACATATATATGTATATAAAATCTCGAATTTTATACATATATACATATATAAATCTTAAAAACGTTAAAATGCAGGAAACTGTAAATAGATTTATAAACAGTACTTAGTAAGTAATGAATATGTTATTTTTTTTTATCTTTATACAGGAACGCGCGTGTCTGTGTCCACTCGGAGAGAGAATCACAGTATATCCCAAATGACAATAATATTCTACTGACTAGGCAAACTTTGTTTTTGTTTTTCTTTTTTTTTTTTCTTTTTTTTTCACTAAGAGTATAGGGAAGACTGTGATATCTACAAATTTATTTTGATTGTTTTTTTATCTTTAGATCTAATGATCGATCTGAAAAAACAATGGATGTTCCTTAAAATATAAATATTTGTGAGCGTTGCGTCAATTCGTAATGAAGTAAAAAGTCTTACAAGATTTTGAAGGTTGGCAACTTCGAATTATCTTCTTTTATCGAAGTGAAAAGGATTGCTGTCAACGCTTATGGTTTATCACATCAAATAGCCAACTTGCATTTGCCTCAGTGATGCCAAAGTAAATAACAGTGTTTTGAGATACACGTGTCTTAGACAGCACAGTCTTTCCTACATGTCTCAAATAACGCATAGTTCCCTTTCCCTTTACTTGGCAGTGAACTCGGGCCAGTAATTTATATAATAACGATGTGTTGATCCTTCAAACAATCTATCAAGCCACATTGGTAACCCATCCAAAAGGTTTTCTTGATACAAAACATTGCTTTCATCCTGTAAAAAAAAACATGATTATTATTAATAACAATGAGCATGTAGCCATGGTATGAAAATATTCAATTTCATGAGACTCCACTGATGTTATTCATTATTGTTTTGTAATAAATGGCAGAGATTGTTTTTTTTTTTTTTTTTTTAATTTCTTTATGAAAAGAAATGTTTTGCGATTATTTTTCGAATTTAACAATCTCTGGAAACAAGTTTACGTACCTCTTCTTGAGACATATCGGATTCGGAACTGTCGAAACCGATAAAAGCGCCGGCTTCCGGGTCTTCCGGTTTTTGGGCAAGCCGCTTAGCCATTTTCTCAATACGCTATATTGAGAGAACATATTAATTTTAATATTAATAAATAACATACAAAATAACAGCTCCGAGAAATCAAATCTATATCTCAAATAAAAAAAAAATATATATATATATAAAGATTTAGTTAATAAAATTTATCTTCAGCTTTAGGATATTATTACACACCTTAGAACCTTTATCCCTCATACACTCGGGATGTTTGGCGTGGTACATGCAGAAATACTTCCGATGCCCATTCAATGACAAGACAGTGCCTACGCAATTCTTGGCATTTATATTTAATTCCTTCTGATCGGGCAAAGTGAGAGACAATAATTTCTTGTACCAATCAAGACCTTTCTCTAGCGACATGTGTGCGAACATGAGTGTCTTATTCTTTCTGCGAATAAAAAATAAGTTACAAGGTTTTTTTTTCACAAAAACTCTAAAACAAAAATATATCGAATGCAAACCAAGCATTAGCGATGCTATTATTTGTATTACTACTTGATAGTTTATTATATCAATTATTTTCAAAATAAATGTTGTGATCGAATAAAATACATGCAAAACTGATATGAGAAAAATAAGAAACGAGTATAATAAAACTCACCTATAAGGCCATACAGCTTTGTGAAAAGCTGGTAATAACTTCAATCGACTTTGAGCGTCCACCAGCAATATGATAGTTCGACAACCTGGTTTTAACAGCCGAACTAATCCGTTGTATTTCTCCACGCGTAATTCATGTAACCGCAATTGCGGTTGTGAAGGAAGCGACTTGGGATTGTCCTTGCTTTGAGCACGTTCGGCCTGAACACTTGCTTCTTCTTGTTTGCTAAATATAAAAAAACAATCAAAATATACATTTATATGTGTTTGCGCGCAACATATGTATTAAAATGTTCCGCAATGCTGAACAAGGGATTTTATTCTGCTGTTTAATTCTACTCACGCTAGGTATGACATTCCATACCCTGCAGCTCCGATTAGCATAAGAGTTGCTAGCACCGATATCAAAGGTAAAATTTGTTCTTTCGTTAGATTATCGGATATATAATCTACCGCTAATAATGCTCTGCCTATTAATCGGTCTACAGTGCCCTAAATATATAAAAATATTAATATATACGAGCTACTCAAAAATCCGAACTACTGCATCTCGAGATTATCCGAAAATATACCTGGGCGTGTTCATCTGTCAATTCCCCTACGACTGCAGCGTACGGTAGTGCTTCAGTGGCACGCAACAACTTCTGTATAGTTTTCTCTAAATGTCTACGCGTTTCGTTCCACACACGATCGTCCTGAACAGCTTCAACCCATCCGTGAGGAAGCCATTCGTACTTCAAGTGATTGGCATCTCGTCTCCAGATAATGACAATATGTAACAAAGGTTCCAGCGGGCTGCCTTCGCCAGCAGAAAGTGCCGATACAAATTCAGGTTGCGTGTCTTTGAATACGTATGCGTATCTGACACGTTCCGTGCTGTGTAAATAAATATTAAAATGTAAAATAATTCGAAACATGTACAAACAAGGAAATTAAAAAAATCACGCACAACATAAAAAATATTAATATACACGCTACCTGTACGAGGATTCTAATGCTGCTTTCCTAAATTTGTGTCTAGCCATATCATGAAGAGGATCGTTTTGTTGCGATATCAAAACTGCGCATAAACGCTTTTGTGGTCTCAACCACTCAGGCGGACATATGGAGTCCAGCATAGCCTGATTTGAGAGCCTTGGCAATACGAGAAACTTATTGTTAGCAATAACATTGTGCATAGTTTCACTAGAAATATCTTTCATGCTAACAGACGCCATGGGTTTCTCAGAATTTTCATTAAAAAGAAGCAAAGTATCTAATTCTCCTGAGATTTTGTATTTTGATGTTATATTTTCAGTCTCAGGTACGCCGATCTGCGAAGAGTATATTGAGAGTTGTAAGTATACCAGTGGAGTAAGAACACGTTTGAAATATATATATATCGCGTGTTTGTTGCCACAAGATATTTACCTTGACAAATCCAAAGGCTACTCTATCTCTGTAATAAAAAGATGTCAGCAAATATCGCAGACGGATAAAGTCTCTGTTTTCAAATATCAAAGCGCGAATCCGATTATCCGCCCATCCCGACAAGAAGTTTTCTACATTTGTATTGGTAATGGAACTTATTAATTTATACGGTAGCCTACTTCGTACAAATTCTGCAAATATACACATTCGGTTAACTTATGAATTTTTTCAAATAAAAAAATGTGCCATAAATATTTCGAAACTAGCTTATCGTACCAACAACTTTTTGAATGCTAAACATAGATTCTTTGTAAATACTAGTGCGCCCTTCCACAGTAACAACAAGACACGGAAGCGAGTGAATGCTGAGTCTTCTCGCTAAAGTGGACTCTTTTTTAGCATGCGCCGTGGCCAAGCCGAGTCCCAAAGGTTCTAACTCATCGATCAAACGTCTCCAAGTAGGTTCCACTTGCAGACACGCGAAACACCAGTCGGAATAAAACAAAATTAAATACGGCATACGATAAGTCTTTGGTATTATTACGTTTTCGAAGGATCTGCAATTTTTATAAATGTTCAATTAAACAAATCCACACATAAAAATTAATAAGCAATCATGATCGAGAAAAATACACACCGATATGTGATACTCATTTTGTGAAACAACGAGATGTCTCTGGATTGATAATGAAATTTAAAATTACTGCCAAATAATTCTTCTAGAGGATCAAGAACATTAAAGTGACTACTGTCTCTCCTTTGCCTGGGAATACCCTCCTCAGTTATCCCGTGATTATCAAACTTTCTCCTTCTCTCGGGATCAGTTAACAGCTAAACAATTATATATTCAGTACCACGATATTAATAGTATTATTCTTTTATAGCGCGTAGTTTCTTCTCTGTATTATTCACACTGTGCAGTTTTAAATAAGACAAACATACCTCGTAAGCTTTTGTTATTTCCACAAACTTGTCTTCAGCTAGCGGGTGATCCGTTTTATCCGGATGCCTAAAAAACATTGTGTCACGTTTGTTTTATTTGTATATAAAATAAAAACAAGATGAATTATTCTCTGTATTAACATGAGATGTAGAAATTAAAAAAAATTGTCGCAATAAAAATTTTCGACTTAAGACTACAAATGTGTGTCATTTACCATTCCTTGACCAGATGTTTGTACGCCTTTCTAATCTCCTGTATAGTGGCATATTTTGTTACTCCTAATATCTTATATGGGTCACCCAAGGTATCGCTCGCGACAGTCAGTGACGTTAACTCGAGAATCACAATAACGCTCAGGAACAAGACCGTGTACTTCATTAGTGACGCCTTATTGTTTCTCTCGTCAACCGTGCTCATCGACGCGTAAGTCATTATACAAAAACAATCAATAACATTAAACTGACGCAGTCCACGATCTTTACGAGAGAACTGTCTTGTCTCCGCGCTTGTCTGTGTGTGCACAAATATTATTCCGTGAGATTATTCCGATCGTTTATCATTCGTGTATTTGCTACTTGTTTCTTCGAGATAATCACACGCGACACAATTGCAATTAACGAACATGTTTCGCACGGATCATCATCATTTCGCTCGGAACACGTCGATACGATCGGCGACGAGTAATCACGTCAACACATTCCTGAGACAATCGTCGCCATCATGTTGTCAAAGTGGACACACACACACACACATAATCACAGATGTGAGACATATGGATGGGGAAAAAGTTTGTTCTTCGTCTTCGCATCGGGACTGCACCGGAGTGCACCAAGCTGTGATTAGACCACAGATAACAATATTCTAGACACGTGTCTTCCTTGATCCGGTTCTGTTCCGCGCCACGTGCCGCGCGCTCGTCGGATTCGATATTTCGATCATCGAGGTATCGAATTCACGAGCTTCGATACCTCGATGCCTTCGACCGGAAGCGGAAGTAGCGGGCAGTTGTGGCGGATGATCCGCTATGCAAGAACGGAAATACTTTCGACTCGTTCCCGTATTTTTTGCGATTGACATCGCCTCGCACGCGAAGCATGGTCATCGTACACGTGGGTCATAAATGTCAAGCGTTCGCAATGATGAATAATTATTACAAGTAGTGTTTCGCTTATTCGCTAATTAATGATTTTTGCGGTAAAATTGTGTCGCGGCCGGTTGCGCGATTCCGCGAGACGCGCGCGGGAAACACGTGCGCTCGCGGGAAGCACGTGCGCTCGCGGGAAACACGTGCGCGCGCGATGCCGCAGTCACACGATCACGCGTGTTTAAAAAACACGTAACGAATGATCAAGTGCAATCAAGTGTGAGTATCATTTGCTCCGCTATTAAATGTCAAATAGTATAACATTACTAGTATGTCTCTATGCGTTTCCACAGGTGTGTGCGAATACTCGCGAGCTGCCGCAAGCGTGGACTCGATTTCCAATTTCGAAAGAAAAAATGGCCGATCTCAGGAAGGAAAGGGGCAGAAGAAGTTCGCAACTTTTCACACAACGTACGCGTGAGACAGCCAAGGAGATTTTTTTAGCGAGCGGCATCAGAACCTCGTGGAGTTATAGCTCAGGTTAGTGCTCTTTAATCTCCCGGGAGAACAACTTTTGAAATTTTTTAAATGGACACTTTTGTCTAAAACATTTCTCGTGAAATCAATTTTTCCAATTTCACAATCGTTTCGAGCAAACCGTCGAATAGGAGTAACTAAAAATAAAACACAAAACGACATTATGCAATTAAATATATCAAAGTGTTGAGACCATTTGCATTTTTTTTTTGTAATTCTAAGAAAAATATCAATTTGCGCAAAGATTCATAATCTGCGAGCGTGTTCCCGTTCTGTAACGCATGCGCTATTACAGACCTTGCTGGTCACCAGCAAGTTAATAATCACAACAAAGCGTTGCCAAGGGCGTTATACCTTCCTACTTTTTGACAGTGAATAGACACGCGTTTTTTGTGCAAAAGCGCACGTGTTACGTTGAAATAAAAAAAATAAAAAAATAAATACTTTCCGTACATACGTTTAAATTGATTATTTTGAGATGACCGCAAATTGATAAACTGAATCGAAGTGTTAGAGCTTACGATGCTACGCGAAAATAGATCTTCCCGTGAATCAAGACTTAAAACGATCGACAAATCGTTCGAGCAGTCCGACGAAACCGAGGCTCGCGTTGCGACGATCGAACAAAATTCCGAAAAACGCGGTAGCGCGCAGAAACGATGGACCAGCTCGGACGATTCCAGCCGAGATATCAAAACCAACAGCGAAGATACAGAGACCGAATCTCCGGACGTTAAGAGTAGCGACAGAACTGAGGAACATGCTCAAGAAAGAGCACGTAGTTCTGACGTTCGTGAAAACAAGAAAAGAATCGCGTCACAATTGCGCAAGAAAAGAAGAAAGAAACTAAGTAAACTGAAAACTGAAAGCCGAAGATCCGGAGGATCGTATCATCCTCGCACGACGGATGACGACAGAGCCGATAGCAGATCGTCCGCGAAACGACACAGTGAAAATAGTTTGAAATTAAAGAAATCGCAAAAAAGAAAAAAGAATCTTTCCCGAGGTAAAGAACATTTTCGTGTACGTTGTTATACAAAGAAAGACTCAACAAAAAGTATTGACGAGAGAATTCAATTCTATGAAAATTTGTAATTTACATTCCCGAGCATTTTTCTATTACAGTTTGTTTTAGATAATTGAAAAAATATTGAAAAATTGCAAAGAAAGAGATTCAGAGTAAACGTGACGTTTTTTAAACGATGACGAGAAAATTGTTAAAAATAAGAAAAGATTTTATAAGATCGTAAAGCAACTTGATGAAAAATTTCGTATAAATTTGTATAAATTTTTTTTTTTTTTTTCACACAAGCGGACGACGACGAGATGCCTATTACGGAGATTTTGAAAAAAACTCAAGAAAATGCACTCACGAGATACGAAAAGCCGGTCCCGCTTCCGGAATTGACTTCTGACAGGATTTATATTCAAGGCAGGAGTGGTTTTAGCGCCGTGAAAATTGGCGGATCGAGACGTGCTTTGAGAAGCGATACGGCGGCGCACGTAACAGAAGGCGGAATAACGGATAAGAAAGGCTGCTGCGAGGATCTCGCGGCGACTCAACCGCGTGTGCTCATAAAAGTGGCCATTACGATGCAAAATTTTTGGAAGTGCACGGGACTCGTTTATCAGGGTCTTTTGGGCGGAATGGCGCTTTTGCATCTCGTTATGGTAAATTCTTCTTCTCTCAACTGTTAACGCAATATTGTTGTTTAATTAGCGCGCGGAGATAAGAATCGCGCGATATCACATCGATTCGAACGAATGTGGGGGGAATGTGTCATCTCCAAGATCTCTCGTTGCAGATTCACGTATTCTTCAACACCTCGATGAAGTTCGTGCTAGATTATTCGGTTTTCTCCGAAGTGTACACAAATACGTTTTCCTTTCTAATCGCTCTCTGCGTCATCTCCGTGTTCGACAAGTACGTTCTCAACCTTGAAAAAAAAATCACAGAACAAGATCTGATACGTGTGTGTTATTATTCAAAAAATATTTACGGTTTTAGATTCGATCTGGCGCGACTCGACGCGGAACATTTGCGTGAGATTTACACGGACTATGCGAAAACCGCGATCACCATTCCGCTCTATTTGATAACGTTCGGTCTTCATCAGGCAACGGCGAAGACTGACGATCGATTGCTTCTCTCGCTCTACCACTGCGGCAACGATACAATGCGGTCGAACGTAAGAGAATATTCGCAAGATTCGACGGGCGCCAAGGATATAAACGAAAATTTATCTCGATTTAACGCGTGAAATTTTCAGACCACAACGGAGAACGCTGTGTTGGAAAATTTACAGACCTGGCAAAGGATAACGATGTCAAAAGACATACTCGCGGTTTTTGCTTGGTTGTTCGTCACTCTCGGAACGGGGGACAACATGCTGCTGACGCATCTCGAATCGATGGACAATTACGCGAACAACGTTGAGTCTCCCAGATGACAGGAGTCTTTTGCGCGATCGCGCGATACGAACTTCATCCGCGCGAGACCGAACTTCGTAACGTAACAGAATGAACAAGAACAGTTTAGGAAGTACTTACTTTTTTTTAAACGCGACGCTGACTCGATCCCAGATGTGTGGAAGAGAACGAGTAACCTACCCATCACGCCTCGAAGAAGAAGTACGATTTAAACATTTATTTGTAACAGAATAGCGTTTGATATGTACATTATGTATAAAGTTCATCACTACTCGCTAGTCGATAATATACGTGTATACATATAAATAACACACAGCAAAGAGGACAATAATATTCAGATTAAAATAACACGTGATATAACGATTACAGTAGTAAAATATGTTTTGGGCTTTCTCTCTCACTCACTCACTCACTCAGTCTCTCTCGCTCTCTCTCTCTTTCTTTTTCTCTCTTTCGCAAGTAGTTTAGTTTATGTAATCCCCAATTTTTCAAGGATTTAATTGCCAAGCTCAATCGGCTAAAATAAATTGCTTATCAAAATTTGTAAACGGGATATCGTCGAGAATATCGTCACGCGATTCACAGAGCGGCAGAAATCTTTTTTGCGAGTCGCGATATTATCGAACGCTTTACGGGGAAAGAAAGCGCAGTTTTGTTATAAATTATGTGCAAAGACTTGTACTGATTTGCGAAGCAAAACGGATATATATATATTTATATATATATATGTATATATATATATACACACACGTTTGTGAAAAATTGTGTGAAATTTATTACACGCTAAAGTCTCTCTCTCTTTCTCTCCCTCTCTCTCTCTTTCTTTCCCTTCGCTGATTCATATTCCGTAACAATTTATTTTGCCGAGACATAGCCTTTTTGTTTGTTTGTTTGTTTGTTTTTTTTTTTTTTTACGCGTTATTCTAAAATATTTCTCAGCTTAATATTATCATCAAGGCACTGTGTTTACAGTTCTATCTGATGTCGATTAAGTCGATTTTAAATCTTGTTTCTTTCTTTTTTTTATTTTTAACGTCCGATACAAATCGACTCATCGAGTTTACATCGGATAATTTTTCAATTTTTTTCTATTATTATCGATTCGTTGCAAAATACGCAAGAATAAATGCAACAGACGTAGAATCGATGACGCGACTTGATCGCAGAAAAATTGACAATATTCGACCGACCAGATCATTGTTTTTTTCTTTTTTTTTTTTTTTTTTTTTTAAGTGCGAGAAAAACTCACACGTGCTCCTCCTTAAAACGCAAAAGTTTAATAGTTTCGTCATGGCTTTTACTACGCTAGTAAATACTTACAATTGGTAGTTTAAAATCGTGCAAACTCTCTCTCGCTATTGGTTTAAAATTCTTCTCACTGTAGATTCATATGTATTTTTTTTTTTTTTTAACGTGCCGATATTTCATCGTACGTGCTCGTTGGCGGTCGTGCATACGCAGAGCACGGCAGAAGATTACGACCGACCTGTAGTAGGTACGAAAGAGAAATGAACCAATAGCGCAAAATGTCAGTTCCAACGGTGAAACCTTTAGCGAGAGTTTACCTGTACCTAAATATAGAAGGTAGTCGCACTTCTGTTCGGAGATAGCGACCGATAAGACGCTGCCATTTTTTTTTTTTTTTTAAACAACACAAATGCGACGAGTTTCTCAATGTCTCACGTGAAAATCCAAGTGTAATTCGTGCAATCAAACAAACATCGATGTTAAATACGTGCAAATTCCGAAATGCGTTCAACTTCTTTGGATTCTGTTGCACCTGTAATTGTTTCTGTAATCTTGAGTATAATTAAAAAAAAAAAAAAAAAATCATCTCTCACGGCGCTACCTTCTATACTTGTACTCGTGATTAAAACATTGTGCAAGTTTTCAATGGCAGTATTGAGAGAAGTCGGCGCGAGATTTTGCCGTGGCTACAAAATGCACACACACACGTACATGCGCGGTCAACAACAACAAATGCCTCAGAACACGTAAAATTATCAGAAAATGTAATGCCTTTCAAACAATATCGTTCATTATTTAAATTATTATTGGCATCACCTTGTCTTCGGTCACATTTATGCAATCGACCGTACATGTATGCGTTGTGTATGTTACGTTTGGCTGAAGTGAGAGGTGTCTGGTGCACACTTATATGTATTATTTAACGTCACGGCTGACGACGACGTGTTGTCACGTGTTATACATATTGCCTCAAATTGTTTTTTTTTGTTTTTTTTTTTTTTTGTTTTTTTTTATCCGGGAGAAAATACCACAGAAAATATTTAGACGTCATTGACAGCGAAAACTGTAGTCGGGCTAGTCGTAAGAAGCTGATTGAAAACGATCGTAGATACACAATTATTCTTGATAATTTTTAACTGGTCCAGTGTATCGCAAATATGTCTATATATAGTATATAGGCTTCTTTATTAAAACTACAATTTAATGTGTGTAATTTCTCTTTCTTTCTTCTCCTTACTCCGATGGCACGAAGTCAAATTTAAACTTGTTGCCACAGGGATTTATAGAAATTTCGAAATTGTACGAGAGAAATGGCATTACGAAATAAAGAAAAAGCTCATTTCCGCTTCTCTTTGTATTTCGCAACATCGCCCGTCTTTTAAAGGGAATTTAATTTTTTTTTTTTTTCACGCTGTCGACAATGCGCGCGAACTTCACACTCACTTCGACGCACAGAAATTTTCCGTCAAATCACAAAAACGTTGAGAATCTTATGCGTAAATTTTTTTACCTTACTCTTCCTTCTTTTCTGATTGTCTATTTTTCAGCTCGATCGCTGCGAGTAGAGTGGCACGACATGTTCGACAAAGACAACAAATGTTCATCGTGTCCTTTTCGAGACGTCTTCGTTTTCACTTTGTTAACAATAGATTTTCGTGGGTACGGGAGGAAGAAAGTTGCAAACGTGAGGATCATCCGCGCTTAGGATCCGTTTTCGTCCGAACGAACTCGCGCGCAATTTATAATCGCATATCCTCCCGTACCGACTCCGACAATCAAACGGTTCCCGGATTGTTCTGCATGTATCTGCACCACGACTGGCCGTTGTTGTTGCCCTCGGGGCATTGAAGCAATTCTCAGTCATCGAAATCGTGTCTGAGCTTTATGTAAAGGCAAGAGCCAAGGACGATACCGAAGAGCTCGAGGACCGACAAACCGAGCCCGACGGCGCCCAGTATTATGAGATGGTCCTTTGTCGTCTCCAGGAACTTGTAAATGCAACCCTGACAAGAGAGAACAAACAATTGACATTTATTTAAATGCGAGATAATATTTGTGTATTTTTATTACGTTCAAAACCTTATTTAAGTTAAGAGAGAGATTCTTATTTTGTCCCTGTCTTTCTTATTAAAAAAAAAAAAACTAGAGAATATTTCGAAACAATATGTAGATCGTCTGATAATCAAAGAAAAAGATGAAAAATCTCGTTAGATATACGCACCGTGTACTGAATATTGGAGGGATGATCCCTCCTCCCGCAAAGAAACGTGGGCGTCTTACAGCAGCTGTCAGGCACGACGCTGCCGTTCTTGAGAACCTCCTCGTCCTTATGCCACTCGCTCACTTGCCAGTCCTCGAATCTCAAGGCGCCGCAGCATTTAAACTGCAAATATTGCGACAATAACACGTTTTCCGCGTTAAACATTCGCTCGAAGTTCAAGAGAAACGAAAACGTCAAATCACACGCCCTCCCGCACACGCGTTGCTTACGTAAATTTAATCTTTTCCATTGACATTTGAGAAATTTTCATTAATTTGAAAAAAACCAATCGACAATTTTTTTCACAATTTTACATTGACACTTTTAATCGAAAACTTTATAGAATTATTCCGCTCATCCCCGTGCAAAAAGTTTCTCATCTAAAATTCAAAAAAAAAAAAAAAAAAAAAAAAAAAAAAAAAAAAAAAAAAAATCTACAAGAGTATTTTGATAGTTTACATTACGGAAACAAATTGGTATCGTGTCTCTTATCTCGGCTCTCCCCGACGGTGTTGATAAATAATTTTATTTACACGTGTATATATTTCTTGTAAAAAAATTTGTTCCAAAGAAAGGAGTAATGGCTTTTAAACTGCATTAACGTGCCGTTAGCGAAAGGAGACAAGCGCGCCCGTTTTCCTCATTTTGTAGTTTCGTTCCACAAAGTATATAAAGTATATGTACGGATAAGGCAAAAAGGGGGACGAGATGATATAGCAACGATAACAACGATAATAGCCGACGTACGATAATAACGATAGCGGAACGTGTTATACGCCGAGACGTCGCAGGGTCATTGAGAGGATAGGAGAGAGATATATAGAGAAGGGTTTGAGGAGGAGAGAGAAGCAGCACGGAGAGAGAGAGAGAGGGCAGATTAATGGAGGTGAGAAACGTGTTCCGGCGGCGGCAGCAAGTTAAATGGTAACTTTAATGCGGGCACGTAATCTCGCGGGATTCATCGCGCACCGGAACCATTAGTCGCGATAAACACTTCTCGCGAGGTCCTTTACACATGCAGGTCAACGATTTCGTTTCGGTGCGTCGCACCAGATCCTTCCCGCGAGTTCGCATAATTTACCCGTTTGAGAGAGAGTGCGCGCGTTGTTCACGAATATTTTTTTTTATTTAACTACGTCGTTCCCTCCCTCTCGTCGTCCACTCGCTCTCTCGCGCGCGGTCAATTTTAATTACACGAAAATCTACTGCAAAGCACCATTTTTTTTCTTTCACAACAAGAATCTTTTTTTTTTTTCATAATTGCTGATGTTTTCGGACAGTTCCAAAGCCTTTGAAATGCACACCTGCCATCATCAGAGGCGTTTCGCGCATTCGTACGTGGTGTTGCAGCGCGGAATACTCCAAACGAATGGCGGTAGCGTTTCTTTTGAGAGCGTTAAAAAAGAGAGCGGAGGATCAAAGAGTCCGCATAAATTCTTCGGAAAGTAGAAGCATAAAGTATGTGCGCGCGTATGGACACGCGCACATATTTACGCCCGCACAATCGGATGCAATCTTTGAGCTGCTGTGTACGTGTAAAAATTGTTGCGTAATAAAACGCGTATAAAAAAGATACGCACATCGAGATGTGAAAAAAAAGCGGACCTTTCTATTTAATGATATAACAATACGCCTTTTGCAAAACGAAAAATTGTTCGGTATCTTTATTTATTTTATTCTCGACGCGTGAAAAGATATCTAAATTTAGAAAAAAAATATAAAAAAAAAAAACAATGAGAAGCAAATAAACCGAAATAAAGCGATAAAAATATAAATCTGTGATAAAAAAGAATTCGCACGCACACACATACGAAAGGCGTATCAATAGACCCTCGAATAGCACTGAAAATTCACACATTGGCACATACCGAAGCGCGCCAGACATTTATTTCCGCTCGCGGAGCGTCGCCTTAAAAATTCCCGACGAGCGTTGTGTTGCGGTAAAACCCGATTTCCCGAACGAAATGAAATGCTTGTACACGTAGATCCCTTGTGTATAAATAAAATGCGGATTCTGAATTTCCCGCTTGTGTCCGACGGTTTCGCCAATTTCGCGACATACGCGCGTTGGGTTTTATCCAACGCGAAATATCCCTCCCTCCCTCCCTCCCGCCGTTGTGTGGCGTGAAGAAAATAGAAAACGAAAATCCCCGGACGAGACCGAATGGGATCAGGACAAAAATTGCGGGAGGCACTCGATTTATCAGGCCAATATAGTGCCGAAGGGAAAGCGACTTAGTCGTCGGGGCCATTATCGGCGTCGTAAATCGCATTACTTGCAAGCAAGCTCGAAATTCGAATCAAAATGTTGCATTTCGACACGTAAAGTAGATCCGAAACGGGTTAATTTCCCTCGCGACACGCGAACCCTCTCAAAATTAGCGACTGCACGTGCGTATGAAACACACACACGCGCGCCAACACCACACTCGGATTAATTAAATCGTCGATCATAATAATTTTTCGAAAACTATACATTTTGACACGTTTTACCGAACAATTCGAAAGATCAAGCGCGTGTGCGCGAAAGACGAAGACACTTCCTCCGAGCCAAGTTTTTCGTAGCGAATTCACCGCGGCTCTCTCTAATCGATTTATAGCGGAGTGGGCGGGAAACTGTTTCCGCGATGTGATAACGATGATTTACTACTGTAAGGTTCGCGTAGGGAGAGAGAGTGCCATCGTCGGCAAGAACGTAAGTAAAAGTATTACCGCGCCGCGCCGTGATATCGCGAAGCACAAAAGCAACCGCTCTGTATCATTTCGGCCGTTGCGCGTCGTCGTGAATTAACGTCGCTTCTAACAAAGGAAACGTGAACGAAAATATGAAATACAGACTCTCGTCGAGAAATCATCATCTCTAACTTTATGCGCGAGAAAGGGGAAAATAAATTATTCCAACTTGAACCACGTGAAACGACGGCGAAATGTTTTCGAAGGTCATTCGCGCGCGGACCGACATATGATTGGAGGAACGTTCTTCGGTTCGTCCTTTTTTTTTTTTCCCCGACAACGATATCGTATTCCCCGTATTGACAACAAGCCATACGAAACGCTTTCATCCAAACACTCGACGTTAGCGTCACATATTGCGTATTTTCTGGTGGAAACGCGAAGCGCACTATCGAAGCTCCGCGCGCAAGTGCTACTTGCAAGTCCGCCAGGACGAATATATAACAGGTCAGAGAACAAAAATGACGACGAGGAACGAAAACTGATATCAGGAATAGAGAGAGAGAGTGAGTGAAAAGAAATTGAGAGAAAGAGAAGGAAGGGAAAGGGAGCGATATCGAAACGCGGCGTTCTACTTTATTTTGATCGCAATTGTTCGATAACGCCGGATGGCGCTTCTCTGGTTGAAGCACAAAACGGCGGGGGGGGAGGGGATGCCACAGCCCGGTTTGAGAAATGGGTACGAAATTCTTCCTGAAAGCTCGGGTGTACTCACTTCTTTTTGCATCTGGTCGATGGCCGCGGTTTCCCGGGATCGCACCGAGTAGTTCTCGAGGAAGGTGCGATTCAAATTCATTTTCAGTTCGGGACCAACTTGCTCCTCGTAGAGACGCGCCAGCGCACCGACCCCGGCCTCCAGAACGAGCACCGCCATTACCACGAAGATGTACTATGTTGGACAAAAGAGAGAAGACATGTGGAACAAAGCAAAAATATAAATTCTCTTAGTCAGTACAACGCATAGAGAGCTGAGCTTAACGGAGTTAAACGCAGCTTCATCGCGGAACAAGCTTTTAATAAAAACCAGCTTATCCGCAACTACTACACTTTGCTGCTGTGTCCAAAAAATTAATTTTCTTCGAGATGATGAAGTATGAAGAAACGATTTTTAACGTGTCTCGGGCGCCCGCTCTTCCCTCCCCCTCCCCCCGGTTATAAAACGCGATAATAAAAGCTCTCGGGGGATGAAATCTGTCAGTTCCCCCCATCAGATTTTTCTAGAAAGAAAAAAAACTCGTACGGGTTATATACATAAAAAATCGTCGATTCGAATACGTTACAGGTGTTTGTTAATGCGAGATTCCGGTCGTTGCGCAAGTAAAAATAAAATCGCAATGGAAAGAAGTAGAATCGCGAGAACGGGACAGCTGAAGTAACACGCGCGTTATTATCAAACGCTATAAAATGCCGCGTATGCGATTCATGTGATCCTACAAATAGATATCTGTCGCATCGTGAAACGCACATAATGATGTCGCGCGAGATTGGTCCTCTCTCTCTCTCTCTCTCTCTCTCTCTCTCTCTCTCTCTCTCTCTCTCTCTCTCTCTCTNTCTCGCGTGTTTCTTTTTGTCTGAAATGCTAATACAAAAATAACACAAATTCCGCAATGCGAACGATGTTAATACCGCGCATAATTTGCAATACGAATTGCGAGACGAAGCCGCGCCACCGGGATGTGCCAAGATTTCACATCGCTCCTCGTCCCGGTGTATAAAGCGCGCGATGTATTAAAATTGTGCGATGCTCACTGAAGCGCTCACTTTTTCCGACTTTTCATGAATATAAACCCGACCCCAGAGAAATATGCGAGACTCTCTCGCAGGGATTCGCGCCCTTCCGACAATCTTTTCTTTCTATGAATATTCAAACGCGATGACTAACTATCGCTCCCGCGTACTTGAGCCAGCTCGTAAGAGCGCGTGTATATTACGCGAGAGAAAGAGGAAGAGAGAGAGAGAGAGAGAGAGGGAGAGAGACAGAGGATGTGGAAAAGAAAGTTTTCTTATTTAATAATTCCATATGATTATTAATTCCATTCCGTAACGTGACACAGCTCTTCGGCTTCGCGGTCGAAACTCAGTCAACTTGTCGAACGAGCATGTCGACAGTTAGAACGTAGAACGTAATACGCGCGATGAAACATTACTCGCGCGGATATATACGCAGCGAAGAGAGAATATGAAGAGAGAAAAGGAGTATCGACAGCTAATTTGTGCTCGATTCCCAACGTCGAGAATTAAGCTGTATCGCGAGTGAATCACGACGTTCTATCGCGTGTAAGCACTTGATATTCCGATCTAATACGCGACCGACGGCGAAGACGAAGCTAAGTGTTGCATAAACGGGAAGATTGATGAGAGTGAAAATTCATGATTTTTAAAACATTTCAAGAGAACGGATGGGGAGGGATTTTATCCGCGGACGCGATAAATATGTGTGTGAAAAATAATATATTTCGCGCGCGGAATTAAAGAGCGCGTGGTTTTTAAAGCAGACGTTCGGATCTGTGTTTTTTTTTTTTTTACCGATGTGTCTTGTGCGAAAATCTGTAAAAATCTTTAAAGATCAAATGTTTCGTCGGAATCAAAATTTTCCAAGTGGATCAACACGTTCGAGCCGCGTGTGTGCGCGCGAAATTAGAGCGGTCGTATAAGGCGATACGCGATGATCGATCGGGTTTCCGTGGCATAATCAGGATGACGTGGGGATGAAACGCGCGCTTAGTCTCCTGACGCAATATCGTATAATTCATAATATATTAGAGCGCGCTCGACAAGCGCGCGCGTACCCGCGCGACGCAACATGGATGTTCTTCGTTGGTTTCCATCTTCATGGTCGGTATCCGTTTCAATCCATTTTATTGGAGGGAGAGAGAGAAGGGAGGAGCGGGACGGAGATGAAACACAGAGATCGCTTCCGCTTCCTTCCCCGTCACTCGGAATCGAGTGAGTCGGGAGCGCGTCGAGAGAGAGAGAGACTGCGACGTTGTACCTGCATGTATTACCTAAGTGCCACGTACATATTAGTATCTAAGTCAATAAATCGTCCGGAATATGTTGTATATACATATATATATATATAATATATGTATATATACGTGTTATGGCAGAAGCTGGCACGAGCGCGGATGGGACACGACGGGAAGGAATGGCAATCGACAGTTCGGAATTGGTGAGAGAAAGCTGATGGTGAACAGGGCGGACAATAGATCAAACGCATCGCATTGTCGAAGACGATTGAGATAGTCGCGATTAAATTAACGCGCGCAGTTAACAGAGAGTTTCGTCGACCGCTTTTTCTCAAACTTTTCCTCAAAATCCACCCGAGAAAATGACCAACTTGTTTTGTTTTATCTCGCGAAGCAAGATCGTCTAAAATAGACGCTCTGTTATCTCGCAGCAATCACGCAATTCGAAAACTGTACGTAGTAGCCCGCGAGTCGGAAACACAACCGGGGGAAAAAGATTAGCAACTTCGCGCGCGAAGTATCCAAATAAACGGAATAAAACTTCCCCGGAAGCCCGAGACAATAGAACAATGTTGAATGAAAGACATAGGAGTTTTAGGAGAACAGAGATACGAAAATAGGAGAAACTTCTCTCTTTCTCTCTCTCTCTCTCTCTTTCTCCATCCGGAAGAGAGAAATAACATTAAAAGCGCAGCGAAATCGTTTAATCTTTCATTGTAGCGCGCGCGCGCGGAAAATGGCAGACTGCACCAATTTTTCGCAGAACAATTATGACTACTCTATAGTCGACTACAATTACACGGAACGGATATTGTTCGTTTTCGCGACGCGTGGATGCTCACCGTGAATGCAATGAAACTGTGACAACAATTCTTGATCGTCATTGCGGACGAGCGCGATTCTTTTTTTTTTTTTTCTCGTATTCCCAAAAACTTGTCGAGCGCCACGGAAACACAAAACGATTTTTTTTTTTTTGTCTACTTCTCTGACACGCCATGCAAACGGTACTTTATGTTTTGCGCGCGCAGATGAAAAAATTTCGAAAGTTTAAATAAAAAAGTTAAAATAAAAAAACAATTGCGGAACACGAGACAAGGTTTAACTGGATCTTCGCATCGTGATGGGAAGACGCGAAATAACAGCAATTTTTGTGCGGAAGCAAAAGAAAAGGATCTTCCTTGAAAAAAAAAAAAAAAGAAAAAATAAGCGTTTTATTGCTTTTCTTATGTAATCCGAGACGAGAGAGAGAAGGACACAAAAATGAAACAATAACAGCTAATACCGCGCAAAGTGCTTCAAATCTGTCGTAAAGCTCTGCTTTATGCCTCGAATTAAATTACATGTCGTGAACTTACACGGTCGTTTATTTTAAGAGCGACACGCGCAGAAATACAACGCGACGCATCTATTTTTACGTCGCTTGTTGTGTAATACACTTCCGTTCAACATTTTTTTCCCGTACGCTGTGCGACGACGTTCGATGTAAACGCGCGGCGGATCCGCGCGCGAAATGACGCGCGAACGAATTTTACGCAATTAGAGATCGAGACACAGTTCACGAACGGAGTCGTGATTCGAGAATCGCGGCGAGCGATTAGTAGCGGAGTTTTTTTTTTGGTGCAATTTAACTTTCGCGCCACGGAGAGACGACGAGAGAAGATCGTTCGGACGATTTATCACGTCGGCGAGAGCACGAAATAGCTGATCGACAACGACAGCAAAAAACAATAAGAGGATCGTGGTTGCAATAATGTTCGGAAAGAGACGATTAAAAAGATGTAGCCCCGGCACAGGTGGCTTTGAAAAAGTCGCGCAATTAGGACTGAACTAATGATTCGAACGGAGGTATGGGTTAAGTGGGAATTATCTGGTGATTAGCGGTGGTTATTACGGCCGATTTAACCCTCATTTTTATGTGAATGGATGACTCGCTTGAGTTGAAAGCTCTTACGCGTCGATCTCGGGGAAGAGAGGATTAAATGATCAAAAAAAAAAGAATTTTTTTTTTGCTCCGATATCTCGATCGTACACGAGAAATACGATTAATCTCTTTCTTTCGATAATTTCGCAAATGGAGATTGAACACTTGATTTATATAAATTACAAAACACAACCGATTGCCGAGTGAAAAATATCGTCGGTCAACGAACGAGGGAGAGTTCGAGGAGGTTTAAATCTCCGTGTCCGAGCAACAAAAGGACGTGAAGAAAATAAATTTGTTTTTGCGCCTCGACGAGAGCACTTACGCAATTGAGATCATCGCGCGCGTGACGTTGTACACGTCCATTGTGTTGTGCACGTCTTATCAGGTCGGTAAAGGCGGGCGTGAAAGAACTTCAACTGGTCGGCTTGATTGGATGAAAGATAATTCGATTGCATCAATTAGACACTCGGTTGAAGTTTCTGCTGGCTTTTAATGACATTAACGCTCTCGGGACTGCGGCGAGAAAAAAAATTGCACACGCGATCGGACGGGAGAAGACACTTACTGTCCGCCACGATCGTCGAGAGCTTTTGCGGTAGAGACGCCTGTACAAAACACGGAGATAACAACAAACAAGACTTGATGGCGTTTGATAATTTTCTTTGGAAACTTGAAATGGAAGTGAAGCGAGAGAGAAAGAGAGAAAGAGACAGAGAAGCGAGATGACTAATTTCCGGAGGAACCACGTGGCAGAGAATACCGCGGTTAGGTAACGATCGGCTAAGCTCGTTACTGGTGTTTAACTATCATTTAGAGAGGATTAAAGATAATCCAGTCGGTGTCGTTGGAGATATAGCGAGAAAGCGCGAGCTACCAACCACTTACGACCGGCGCGCGCGCTAACTCTCTCGATTAAGGTCGATTTATTACTCAGCGAAGGGTGTCCTCTTCTGAAAGGGGGAATGTGAACGAGAGGAGATGTAGAGGAAGGACCGCTAAACGTATAGATAAAAGCGATATTGTGAATAGCTAATTTGTAACTTCTCCGCGAGTATAAAGTGCGTTCCGCAGATGTTTCTCGAGAAATACACGCGTAAAAAAATGGTGAAAAACTGTGTCTCTCTCTCTCTCTCTTTTTTGAGCAAAAATCTAAAAGACACAGAATCTCTCTCCGAGCAGCATTTCTCGACGAGTGGAGATAAATAAAGCGAACTGTAAATCATCATTAGCTCCGGAGAAAAGTAACGACGACGCTCCGGGAGAAAGTTTGCCCCGTGGGAACGCAAAATAATATCGCGGGTCGACGCGTGAATGCGCGCAATTTGTCAAACTCGATCGCGCGCGAAGGTGTGCACGTGTGTGCGCGCGCGCGCGCGCGCGTACACGCACGTGACACACATCGCGTATTCCTCGGAGACACGCGCGAAACGCCACATATTAAATTAGATAATTCGCGCAAAAACATCGGACTTATCGCGCAACACCGCTCGTTGTCGTTCCCGGGACGCGACGTACATATTTCCGTCCCCGGATTGTGAGTTAGCGGGCGGATTGGAATCGCACAGCGATGTTTACTCGCGTGTTACTTTTCAAGAGCGCGAACTTTATAGGTTGATTGCGAGGGCGAGCGCTGTGTGGCCGCGAGCACAACGTTGAAGGAAAAGACTTCGTCGAGCGATAATGTCGGAGGTGGCAGACTGCGGGTAAGGTCAAAGGCGAGTCTCAACTCCCCTTATACCTGAAAGTTCAAAGGAGGAGGCCGGGCATTGTTAATACAGTAACTTTTAGCGACAGAAAAGAGGAACAAAGGAAGAGAGAAAGAGAGAAGAGTCGCCAGCGCGCGGTGAATTATCCCCGTATCGATATTACGGTTCATTGTAATCGGCCGCGGGGTTATCGATTTTTCATTTATATTCCGAGAGTGAAGGGAGAGAGAGAGAGAGAGGACTTCCTGCACGACGTCGTCGTCGTCGTCGTCGTCGTCGTTGTCGAAGGTCGAAGTATTTTTAGCGGTTCCGCGCGCGCTCGGTGAGCGTGAAGTGAGTTTGCGGAAATACGAAATTATGTGATCGGGCGCGCGATAGGTCGGAAATAGAGGCGCGCGTTGTCGCGGAAAAATGACGTTTAACAAATACGTGAGTGTTAAATTTTGTTGTTGTTAAATTTACATAACGGTCTAACGAAAATAAAAAAAGAAAATGACACGCGGTCAATTAATTAAAATAAATTATCGTCGCGCGCGCGCGCGCTTGCTCGCATGCGCATCAGAACAAACGATCGTTACTTGTTGTTACGTACGCGCGTGCTAATAAGGACGACTTATTTTTTTTCCCGACGCGTCCGAGGATTAGTTCACTTTGAGAGCAACAGTTTTTAATTTACTCGCATAACCCTCCTATCGGACTTTTTTTTTTTCCTCGCCAGTCACGTAACAAACTGGCTTCCAACAAAGACTCCGCTTCGCCCCGAGCAATAATGTTGAAGCCCCGCGCGCTCGGGCTAAGTCAAAGGAATGTTCGAGCCCGTGGGTGAAGAGAGGCTCCGCGACTCCGGAGCGGCATGCTCGAGCTACTTTGAACCGAAGTTCTTCTCTCCTCGAAACTCGCAAAGAAGGATATTAACAACGTTGTAAATAATTCTTTTGAAGAAACCTCAGAAAAGATATTCAACATTGACAAGCGATTGTTAAACGGGATGAAAAGATGACGATGTATCATTGATTGAACGCGCGAGACGAAGACTTCAAAAGGGAACGATACGAAAAGTAGAATAACGAGGCTAGTGATTTGCCAACAATAGTTTTTACGATCAACTATTCTCGTTAATGGCAATTTAAAAAGGAAATAGTTAAACTGCAATTAAAGCGTTACGAGTTGGCGTTTGTGTGCGAGACCGGCCATTAGAGGGAGTGTATATGTGTGTGTTGTATAAACTTTGTTTAATTAACTTTAACGTACCTAACTACGACAGAGAAATAATTTCCGCCATATTGTATGCGTGCACAAGCTTCTCTCTGTGTGGCCAACTTGCTTTAAGTGATACTGTATTCTCTCTCTCTCTCTCTCTCTATCTGCACCCTAATCTACAGACTTCGTATCTACTCCTTGGTCTCTGATATCTACTCCGTTCTACTCCAGAAACTCCGCGACTTTACACGGTCTGTGTACGGTGGAATTGCGGAGTGCAATCGAAAACGATTTCTTGCGCGTAAAAGTAAACAAAAAAACACACGCGCGTAATCAAATGTCTTTTTCGTTCGAAAAAACGTGGATTTTACTTTCGAACGAATATTAATGTAGAAAAAAAAAATTTTCATCACCGCCGCGTGTGTAATTTTGTTGTAAATCGAAAGCTTCCGGTAAAAAAATGTTGTGTGCGTTTTATCTCTGTTCGCAACAACAACCGACAAACGGCCGTGTTTTCCGCTTATCGCGGGAAAATGGTTACGAGGATGCTTCTCGATAACTAAGTGAGATTGGTGTTCGCGACAAGATCGCGAATCCGCAACATATCGTAAAACGATCGCGCGCGCTTAAAAGCACATCTGGTATCCTCTTTCGAGATAAAGGCGTTTTTCAAGAGCGATAGCGCGTGTCTTCGTCTCCGACGTATGTACGCGGTGTCTTCTCCTCCTAAGTAGACATTTCCGTGTGGCGCATCTGGTCTCTCGCAAACCGAGAGAATTAATTAATCGAACGATATTGCGTCCGATAAATAAATTTTCTCTTTGATAAGAAGAACCGCTTGATGCTCTTCTGATCGCGAGAACAAACCGTCCGTCTAAAGAGCAAGGAGCAGAATCGGAGCAAATTGTACGCGTGATATTTTATTTAATATCATTTGTCGTCTGAGATCTTTGCGAGAGAGTTGACCGGGGGATGTTTGAGAAACGGGATTATTACCGCGGATCGATCCGATTGCACACTTGACATCAAACTCTCTGTCGTGTGACATCGATTTCTAGGAAGCAGCTTCCTCACACGAGACTGCTCGTGAACTATGATTAATGCGAATGTATATAATATAGAATACAATATAGAATATAATACACATATAACACACACAACAGATTTGCTAAATCAAACAATTGAAATTAATGACTTGCGATCCACCGACTAGATCAACGCTCTAGTACTCATAAGTGTGTCTTGTCTGCGAAAAGGGATGATTTCCGCTGTCACAAGATCTTGCGTGATGTACGACTTACCACAAGGAGGACGCATCGATTTTCAGAAGTTACGCCGCCACATCCGATCCAGCTACCGATGACAGCCAGCACACCTGCGACGATAAGGGCGTAGGCTAAAGTGGGATACGTCGAGGTGGACATGAGCGATATGTAGCTGTGCTTCGCCACCACCGTCCAGATACCGATACCACCCACCACCAGTCCCGACAGCTGCAACATACAAGCAAGAAATCCTCGGCTTAATCCCAAACAAGTATGAAACGTCACGAAACTATCCAACGCCACCAGCGGACGCGACGTCGTGTCCGCTCGTAATTTACGTTTTGACTTGTTGACGCAGTTTGAAAAGATCGAATGACACGTCGGATCAATCGGAAACAAAATCTCCCAAAGTTGCGGTTTGCGACACGAATATATTTTTATTGCCACCGATAAACGAAACTAAATTGTGATCGAAACCTGTTTTTTTTTTGTTGCTTTGCACAAAATAAATTCTTTTTTGTTTTTTTTTTTGGGGGGGAGAAATTATTGACAAAATGTAAAGCTGAATATCGTTGGATTTTCAGCGAGAAAAAACGCGTGATCGCGTTTTCGTGTTCGAATTGTCTCGTTGTTCGAAAAATTCTCATCGCTAACATAATCATCGAACGTAACAAATAGCGGGAATAGTTTGTGAAACGCGTTTAATTTCGTATCGGTACCGGTTCACCACCGACAGACGTAAAGTCTGTTCGACTGGTCGCGGATATCGTAGCCGCCCACGACAGCTGCCACGAGAGAGTGCGACTACAAGCCCGATAACACAATATCATCCACGCATGTGCCCATAGCGTACGTAAAAAATGTTTCGCAACCGAGTAAAAAAAAAACAAAAAGACAGAAACGCACGAATTAGATAAGAATCATATTACGATACATAAATTATATAATAATTCGACTTTTAATTTCAAATCGAGAAAAATGTAGAGAGTCAACCGTGGAAAAAAATCGATTCGAAGTAATTAAGCTCGAGACGCTCAATTAACGTGAAAAAGTCAGAGAGAGAGAGAGAGAGAGAAAAAGCCCGTAACTGTTTTAGAAAATTATTCCTGCGAGATAACTGACTTTAATCGCGTTGTCTCGGAAGTGTTCCTCTCACAAAAAAAAGGGGGATACTTTTTGTATCTCGTTTCTCTCAGTTGGAATTTTCTGCGCGGCGTTTTACTTATCACGTGACTTTACTTTAGTCACGTTTTTAAAGACACGTGACTAAAGTAAAGTTACATGTTTTTCCACTCCTGTCTCTCTCTCTCTCTCTCTCTCTCTCTCTCTCTCTCTCTATTTGTCGAGGTTGATATCATTTTCGGGAATGGCGCGAAAAAATTCCAAAAAAAAAAAAATTCACCGAGAGTAAATAAGAGCCGCTCTGATACACGTATATTATTACGCGCTGTAATCTCTATGCCCAGCAGCGGGGGAATTGTCCCACTGCTGTACTAGTGGGAATTACTATCTAATGCCCGGATATTACAGAATCAATGCATGAACGCTCGGTCAGCGCTCAACTGCCAGCTGCTGCTGCGGCATACAATAATCAGTGATATTACGCGGAACCCACCGTAAACCCGCGCGAGACTACAAAAGTTCTCCCGTGCACACATCTCTCCTCGCGTGTATCTCTCGTTTATTGCATTCCAATAAACGTCGAAAGAATCTGTATTACGCGGATATGAAATTTCTATCTCTTCCCCGTCTTTAAAAAGTTTCGATAAAGTTCTTCAATATTGAATAAAATGCCTCGGTCGCGTGCTTTCCTTTCCTCCCGGATCCGGTCCTCGCGTCTATTTTCATTCGACGTATCTTTTTAAAGATATACGCGACACAATCGAAGAATGTACGAGAGATAGCGAAGGGTCGGAAATAAAGTGATATTGTTTGAAAACACATGTAAAATATATCGATCGCGCTTGCGCGATGTTTATTTATTTATTTATTTGCAATTATATCGCGCCGCGGCTTACGCGGATGGTGTGTGGTTGCGCCTATCATTGTTTTAGAACCACGGGGAGAACCGCCCAAAATTACGAGCTCGCGGAACTCGCGGCGTACGCGAGTAAATATGCGGATATAACACACAAACGACGTGGACATACGTATTATGATAATTTGTCTTACCGACAAGCTGCAGCTCTCCCGCGCACGCCGGGAAACAAAAATGCCCTGCAAATTTTGTTCCTAGCAGTTTCCGCGGAGAAACTATATATCGCGGCTCGAAATTTCAATATCCTCGATGTGTGCGCGCGTGCATCGATTATCGGATGTAATTACGTTTTGCAAGTAATTGAAAATAATTGATTGGGTAATCAGACGTCCCATGATTGCAAGTCTATTACCCGCACAACAAATTTGTAATTGCACAAAATTTTTGCGGTAAATTTGTTTTTACAAAAAAGATCTAAATTTTTTTCTAAAATTTTCAATTTATATTAATTGGCTCACATTAATTAACAACTCGATAATTACTGCGAAGTTTGCAAAATAACTTTCTTAAATTAAATCGATCCAATCTTCGCATTTTGGTTGTTTTTTTTTTTTTTTACACTATACACAATAAAATACACAATCAACTTACGTCACTCGACAAGGCGCCGAATTGTACGACGATTCCTTTGATATCGCTGCCCGTTTCTTCGTGGCGCATAAAGGACGCACATTCTCCCATAAATAACAAACTCTTTGGACGTAATACAACTAAAGATCCCGCGAGTCTCGACGTGTCCGGGCAATATTCCAGGTCTCGATATTCGAGAGACATCTCGGTGTGCAATGCGCTCACGTACGTACGATTGCGCGCAAAAGGAACTTCGATTCTCCACGGATGGGTTATGGGACCATCGAGAGTGGTGGTACAGCGGGTCGCAATTTATTATTTTATATCATTGTACCGTACGTGCGCGCGCACGTACACACACACAAACGCGCGCGAGCGGAAAAACGTGCGTACGTAGCTTCGTCCGCGCGACCGGAGATCAAAGATGTATCGTGAACTGTATCTCGCCGCCGCGATATTCTTCGCGTTCTACGTGCCCGTATTTCAGATCGCCGATCGTATCCTTCGCCGCGTCGTCTCCGATCCGGAAAAATAAAAGCGGCAAGAGAGGAAATCCTGACGTACATTGGCAAAAAAACTATCCGAGAGTTACGGAAGGAATCTTTTTCGGATCGATCTTCCGCTCGACATCGGGAAACGCTTTACGTGCTTAATCCGCCGCGGCACGAATAAGAAAGTGAGCTCGCGTAACGTGAAAAAAAAAAAAAACAAAAAAAAAAATAATGCAATTCCAAAGGAACTCCGCATCGATAAAACGAGTTTATCGCGCGAGTTCGAGAGAAGATCCGAAAAAGATTCCAACTCGCTCCGAAACTTTTTGATAGAACAAAGTAAAAAATTTGTTGCGCGCGCGTTTCACTTTCGAACAAAACAAATGTTCTCTTTCAATAGGGTAATAACGCGCGCTGCTCAGGTAAAGCAACCTTGCTCAGCGATGTCGCGCTTGTGTACTTATGCATATAGCGCGCGCGACCGACCTGTGCGCGAACTGCATTGGGTGTGTAACGAGAGACAGCTGGCGAACCGAACGTGCCAGCCAATGCACGCGCGCGATCAGCTTCTGGTTAAACTACATTGCAACTTGGACGATGTTATGCTAATCCTCGCTAGCTCGTTCGCTCGCTAAATTTTGTCGGACATCGCGACGACGAACGCGGAAAACAACCGACAATTAAGAATAAAAATCGTTACATTACAACACGTACGTACACGCGCGTTGGGAAACAACACCCGAGTGGAAAATTTATTCACGGATTCACACACGTGCGATGGCGCGAGGTGCATGCGATGCAACGCGCATGTTTGTTGAGCGAATTTAATTTTTGTTATTAAATCTCAGTCGCGACGCTCGCTTTTTTGCGAGCGCGAAGGAGATTTTAATTACAAAATTCGTTTTTCGCGCAAAATGTGTGAACTTTTCGGAAAGAAAACGAGACTCTCGTGCCACTCGTGCGAGTATAGTAAATCACACGGAGTCGCATTTTCGCGCGGAGAAAATAAATTATTTACACATTTATTTTATTTTGCGACCAATAAATATATCGATGGAATATATTTACGTTGTTTTTATGTTGTAACAATTCTTTTTTGTTCGTTCCGTTTGTCGCGCGCGCGCGAGCGAGCGTGTGTTCAACGCGCATTTTTACAATTCTCTATTTAGATATCACCGGATCGTAAACTCCGAAACTCCGAGTCGTGTCGTTCATCGAAAACACTCGCTCGTTGACAAGCTAGCGAGAGGTCTCGTTCCGAACTGGTTTTCTGATGTTCTCACAAAGGAACACATTCTTCTCCCCTTCGACTCTTCGCCTCTCTCGCGACTAATCTATTTCCACTCCGATCCGACGGTACAAATGAAGTTCTTCGATACGTGGTTTTTCCTCATTCATTTTGTTGCATTTCTTCCGAGAAAATTTCTTTTTTTTCGAATGGGTGAACCAATCCGCGAAAAGACCGCGATCCTCCCAAAAGAAATGACCTGTTCGAAACAGAAGAGAGAGAGAGAGAGAGAGAAAAAAAAGAGGCAAAGACACGTGGAAATTGTGTGCGCGCGAAGTGAAAAGCCGCAGCGAGACGCATCGGGACGGCATCCCTCTGCGATTCGACTTTTTCCATTTTTATTCCCTCCCCACGGATCTATCGCGGATCTATCGCCGGAATTGGAAGCATCTGTTTCCTGTCGCGCGTATACCGAGAGTATATCCCTCTCATTCAAGAGCCAGAGATAAATGCCCATTTTCCGCTGCGAACGGAAGAATCGGACAAAACGTTAGGCGAAGTGGAATTAAAGACAAAGCGAGACCGTTCGAGTTTGTATACCGCTCCCTCGCTCATTCTCTCTCCCTCTCTCTCTCTCTTTCTTTTTTTCTCTCCTCTCTCTCTCTCTCTCTCTATCTTTTGTGCGGGCGTTATCTATTCCTGATAAAAATTCATCTCGTTACCTTTGGTCTATCGCCGAGAAAAATACAAAAAAAAAAAAAAGAAATGGCAGCCGTGCGCAATTACCGTCGCGCGATAATTGCGACGGGGAAACGGAAATTCAAGATACACAAACCGGTCTGTTAAACGAACAAAGACACGACGTAATGCTCCTTTTAATGCGATTGTAACGCGATGAGAA